ACCCTGTGGGGTGTGGGGGATTGGACCTAGGTCAGCTGTGTGCAAGGCAAGGGCCCTTCCCACCGTCCTACCACTCTAACCCAACTCAAGTGACCCTTGGGGGTACCCAGGAGGGCCATTTGTGGCACAGGGATTTGAACCAGGGTGCCAGCCGCTGAGGCAGCGTGAGGCTAGTGCCTTCCATGCTGCGTTACCGCGTCAGTCTAGCTGGGCCAGGCAGTCCGAGGTGGGTGGAGCGGGTTTAACTGAACCCAGGTTCTACCTCCACTGCCCCCCCCCACCCCCGTGCCCTTTGCAGCCTCCCTCAGACCCTTCCCCCTCATCCTGGATTCACTTTCTCCTGCTGTAGGTTCGATGCTCCTGGAGCCACACAGGTGTCCCAGCTGCCTCACCCTGGACCTGCCACATCTACCCTCCTTTCCCCTAGAATCTGACGTTTCCAGTTCGGGGCGGTTCTGGGAGATGCTGCCCCGGACACGTGAGGGAACAAGTTTCCCTGTGGGGTCGTTGACTCGTTGGCACAGATGCGCCTGGCCGTGTGCGCTCACATGCTGTGCTACCCTTCTGCCCCTGTGGGCCACCCTTTCCGTCTGGGTCACCCAGGGCGTGCTTCACTGATGGCAAGCGTTAGTGTGTTCATGTGATGTCACTCTGCGTGTGACCCTGCACTTAGGCTTCGAGTGACCCCTCCAGCCCCCATGCCCGGCGCATCTGTCACTTTAGGGCTTCGGTTTCTCCCAGCGCTGGAAGGTCTTGTATGCACGTGTGTTGGCTTTGTTTTTCCCAGTACCCAAAATAATGCCCCAAGTTTTGCTGTATTTTCTTTTGCTTTAATTGAAAAAAAAAATATTTATTTCTTTTTGGATTGGAGGTGGTACAGCGGGTTGGGTGTTTGCCTTGCATGTGGCTGATCTGGGTTCAGTCCCTGGTGTCCTGTAGGACACCTGAGCCCACCAGAGCACAGAGCCAGGAGTCAGCCTGAGCACAGCCAGGGCGCCTCACAAACAAACAAAAATGATTTTATGCTTGCAGTTTAGGTAGCCTGGTGACGTTGGTGGACTCACAGGACTGGGTGGGGCTAGGAACAGACCTAGGGCGGCTGCGTGCAAAGCCTGAGCTGTCCTTTGGCCACCGTTTGTACCTCACTGGCCCAGTGCTCATGGTTCTCCCAGAGTTACCGCGCCTTTACCGCCACCGGAATGCCAAGACCTTCCTCCTCGACCTTCCTTCCTGTGGCCTCTTCCTGCCCCGCCCGGCACCACTGCTCAGTGATGTCTGTTTTGTAATCAAAGGCCAAGGATGGTCGTCATCCATCATCCCGATACTGTCTGTCCCCTTGTGTGGCTACTGTGTGTTCCATATGTGAGTGACGTCACCGGCCTTTGTCCTTCCCCTGTCTCCACATGACGCCCTCCATGTCCATCAGAATTACAGAAAACTCAAGATTTCAACCTGACTTTTTTTTTTTTTTGGCTTTGGGGCCACATGTTGTAGTGCTCAATCAGGGCTAACTCGTGGCTCTGTGCTCAGGGCTGACTCGTGGCTCTGTCTGTGCTCAGAGATAACTCCTGGCTCTGTGCTCAGGGTTAACTCCTGACTCTGTGCTCAAAATCATTCCTGGCAGGGCTTGGGGGATCCTGTGCAGAGCTGGGGTCGGAACCTGGGTTGCCCGTGTGCAGACAAGTGCTTTAGCCACTGTCCCAGTGCCGGCCCCTTCCTCTTGTCTGAAAGTAGAGTAGTGGTCTGTTGTTGATTGCGTGTTTCTGTTGATGTCATCCTACTTTTTCAAGTTTAGGGAATAATATTGTTTTAAGTGATAGTCAAATTTAAAGTGTTCTCTCAGTTCTTGCCATTCAGAAATTAAATGCATTTATATTGGGAAGTACTCTGAAGGTCTGGGGACCACTTCTGGGGGTTCTCTGCCAATTGGCAGATTAATGTCAGGGCCTGAGGACGTAGTGCCAGGGACCATCAGGGCTACTGCCCCGTGCTTGGGGGCGTAAGGGCCACACCTAGTGGTGTTTCTGGACTGTGTGGTGCTGGGGGATGAGCTGGGGTTGAGCATAGGCACCCCCAAGCCCTGTGCTAACTCTCCGCTTCTGACTATATATTTTTGATTTTTTGTTGGTTGGTTGGTTTGGTTTTTGGACCACACCCAGTGGTGTTCAGAGCCGACTCCTGGCTTTTTACTCAGAGATCACTCCTGGCAGGACTCAGGGGCCATATGTTGTGCCAAGGATAGAAGCCCAGTTTTTTTTTTTCTCTTTGGGTCACACCTGGCGATGCACAGGGGTTACTCCTGGCTCTGCACTCCGGAATGACTCCTGGCAGTAATCAGGGGACCATATGGGATGCTGGGAATTGAACCCGGGTCAGTCTCGTGCAAGGCAAACGCCCTACCCGCTGTGCTATCACTCCAGCCCCTGGAAGCCCAGTCTTAAGTGTGCAAGGCAAACACCCTTCCTGCTGTATACTCACTCTGGCCCCTATATTTTTGTTTATTGACTTTTTGTGTTATTTTGGGTCCATGCCTGACTTTGTGCTTGGGGGTCTTTGGGGGTCCATGTGGTCCTGGAGCTTGACCTTCCACAGTCGGTGTTTGGACTCAGCCACTGAGCTAGCTTTCTAGCTTGGGGAGGGTGTGCCCACATCCAGTTGTGCTCAGAACTTACTCATGAATCTGTGCTCAGGGATCACTTCTGGAGGAATTTGGGGAACTAATGGGTGCTGGGGTTTGAACCTGGGCTGGACATGTGCAAGCCCTCCCAGCTGGACTGTTGCTCCTTGACCTTGGATCTCCAGGCCTAGCATGCTTTGTTCTGCCATCGTGTTTGTAGATTCCTGGGATTTTCCGCATATGCAGTCTTGGGTGCCAGGAAAGGCGTGGTGGCCGGGCACCCTGTGGCGCGGGCGTGGATGATGGGCCAGGTATGCTCAGGGTGCTATAAGTGGTGCCGGAGATTGGGACAGGGTCTCTGCATACAGAGCAAGCGCCTTCCCTTTCTGTTCTGCTGACCCTATACAACCTTATGACGACTTTCATTTCCTTTTCTTCTCCTTATTTTAAATTTCTCATTCTTGTTTCTTTCTGTCGCCAGGGGAGCCACACCTGGCTGTGGGAGCCACACCTGGCCATGCTCAGGGCTTACTCCTGGCTCTGTGCTGGGGGGTTATACCTGGTGGTCCACAGGGCACTGTATGTGTTGCCAGGGATTGAACAGGGATCAGCTGCCTGCAAAGCCAGCGCCTCGCCCCTGCACTCTTCCTCCAGCGCCTCACCCCTGCGCTCTCCCCCCAGCGCCTCGCCCCGTGCTCTGCCCCCAGCGCCTCGCTCCTGTGCTCTCCCCCCAGCACCTCGTCCCTGTGCTCTCCCCCCAGCGCCTCGCCCCTGCGCTCTCCCTGCAGCCCTGTGAGTTCTCACTCTTGACCTCAGTGTCCCTGCATGGGTATTTCTTGTTGCCACCAATGGGAGTGAGTGCTGACAGGTGTGCCAAGCGGTGCCCACCCCGCCTATGCCCATGGGCCCAGTATTGCCCCCTCTCCTGGCGAGCACCATTCCCGAGCACCATTCTTGTTCTGTGGAACTCTGAATGGTGAAGAACTCTGAGGCCCAGAGAGGCAAGGCATGTGCCAGGCACCAGGCACTGGAGATGTGTGTTGGAGCAGGATCAGGAACCAGGGGGCAGAACCAACCTTTTGAGGACCTGGTGCCAGTTCCTGACCCACTGTCGCAGAGTCCCATGTATGAGCTGGAGAGAATGAGTGGAGACTCTTGGGAAAGCATCTCGCTGCCGGCTGCTGGCCGCGGCCCCAGTGGGAGGGGTGCCATGGGGACCCGGGGTTGTGTTTGTAAACGGGGCCCTGGGGAGAGCATGCTGGGCCTTGCAGGGTCCCCCAGGCCCTGGGCCGACGAGGAGCGGAAGCCATAGGAGGCGGCCTCCAGCCTGACACTCTTGGAGCCGAACGGCAACCAGGGAGTGGGGTGGGCAGCTGAGGGACAGGGCACCTGGCCACCCCCCGCAGAGGAGGCGTACGGGACCTCGAGATGGAGCCGGGGGCTGTGGAGTCTGGGGGTGTTTTCTAGAAAGTTCTTATATGGATGGGAGGGCCCCTGGCTTCTCTGACCAGCTCTTCATGAGGCTTTGCTGCAGTGCCCCCCACCCCCAGGATCTGCTCTGGTCAGCAGGTTAGCGCCCCGCAACGGCACGACCCAGTGATATGCTCCGAGTCACAGGCCCCAGGACCGGGTCAGTGTGGGGAGGGTTTGGGGGGGTGGGCACGCCCCCAGCGTGCTGCCAGCTACCAGGCTTGTTCTGTGGCTTGTGCCAGGCATAGGTGGGTGTGGGGGGGTCCAGGTGCGGGAGGCACGGGCGGGTGCTGTGCCTGGGGTATGGTTCTCCCCTCTGCTGCACACCCCCTGCTCCCCCCGTCATCTGGGTATTCGAGCGGTTGCCCGTCTCCACTTGGCATTCGCGCTGTTTTCTCTTTCTGATTTTGGTGCCACACCTGGGGTTGTTCCCGGCTGATGGGACCTGGGGGAGGGTCTGTGGGACCGGCTGGTGGCCCCCACTGAAGCGGTGCATGTCTAGCCTTGAGCCCGTTGCTGGCAGTGGTGGGAGAGAGGGGAGGGAAGGACCTCTGTCTGATGCTGCCCGCACGTGAGAGGCCGGGCCTGGGCATCCAGCCCCGTCTTTGCTCTAGAGGCTTCTATGGGATCCTGGAGTGACCTGGGTGGCTCCGGGAGAGTGGGGACAGCAGCAGGGCCAGGCCAGGCCGACTGCGGGTTCATGGGGGTTTCTCACATGGTTTTCATCTGAGGACTCCTGGGCTCACCGTGGGGGTGAGTTCACGTCTGGTCCCCCAGCAACTGGCCGGGCCGAGCTCGCTGACACCCCCACCTTCAGTGGGCACCCCACAGGGGTCACGACCTCGAGGAGCATGGTTGGGAGGGTGGGGGCCAGGGCCCCTTGACTCACAGGGTGTCTTTTCTTCTGTCCCAGAGGCTAAGACGCAGTGACCGGGCCTTGTCCATGTGGGGGAGGAGCCTTCTCGCCAGGGCTGACCGCAACCTGCAGGGCATGTCTGCAGCGCTCTGGGCCCATGGACACCACGGAGAAGCGTGCGGTAGGCGGCATCCCGACCTGCGGGTGCTGAGGGGGTGCGCTTTCCCCCACCTGGAGGAACCCTGCAGGTCTCTGCCCCCTAGACCTGACTCTAGACTCTGCCTGGCCCTCGGGCCTGCCCGTCAGCCCCACTTCCTTCCCAGCAGGCCCCTGCTGTCTCACCCGATACCCGCTCCATGCCAGGCCTTGCTTCCCTCCCTCTTCCTCCATCCCATGCCCCAGAAACACCCCTGAGCCCGCGGCCCTGGGCTCCCCATTTAGCTGTGGCCCTGACATGCACCCCCGTCCTTCGTCTGGCGAACCCCACCTTGTTCTTCCTGGACATCCAGTTTAGGTGACACTTGGTCCATGCTAGTCCCCCCCCCCGGCCCCCCGGGCCTTGTCCCCTGGATACCAGAGCCCGTCCAGCCCCTGTGGGCTCAGTCCCCCACAGCTGGGCAGGCAGTGAGCAGCAAGATCCACTTGACTTCCTGCTGAGGGCTCCCTGGGGTGGTCTGGTTAGCAGCCTCTGGGGTGCCTTGCTGGGTGCTGACATGGTTTTCCCTGGGCCTCAGAGGATTCCGATGGGCTGTGGGGCCAGCTGGTGGCCCCCGCTGAAGGGGCGAGTGTCTGGCAATGACAGGGAGAGTGGAGGGAAGGGCATCCGGGCATCCATGTGATGCTGCCTGCAGTCCCCACCCCCGACTGTGATGGGGTGCAGTTGCAGAGATGCTGGTTCCGAGTGAGTGGGCACCTTCTCTGGGGGGAGGGGCTGGCTCAGGAAGATGAGGAGAGCCCAAGAGCCCACTGGCCCCGACCCCCGTCCTGCCCCCTCCCACACCCACCCCAGTCCTCAGAGAGCCTTGAGGGGTCTGGGAGAGAGCCTGGTCCCCAGGGTCTGATGGTCAGCCTGAGTCTGGAGCCCAGGGTTTCTGCCCAGGGGCAGCTGTGCCCCAGGGCCAGGGAGATCATTGGGGATCCCTGGCCCCACAAACGAAAGACAGAAACTGCAGACAGTTTCCGTGGCCTCTGGCCGCCCGGGCTCCTGGGAAGTGCAGGTGGTGAGGGAGCCCCCCACCCCCCGCTGACTTTGGTGTTCTGTCGGGATCCCCTCAGCCCCCCAGTCCTTAGGGGCTGCAAACTGCCGGGCCCCCCTGAGCTTTCTGGGGTGAGCATGGCTGCCACAGAACGTTGGCAGCCTGGGCTGCTGCTGTGTGGGAAGCGGCCCCTGAGACTCTTCCGCTGTCACCTCTGGGGCTGCCCCGGGGCTGCCTTTCCCATCCCCGCCCAGCCTGCTGCCTGCCGGGCTCCAAGGTGAGCTGTAGTCTAGGAAACTGGACCCCGGGGAAGCAGCCCCATCCCTGCCTGCCTGCTGGGGCCTCTGCAGCGCCATCCGGAGGATGGCCTGGCCTGGGGCCCCTGTCGGGCTGTGCCCAGTGCCTTGGGCTCCTCCTGCACCCAGGATGCACACTGTGAACTTCCTGCCTGTTACCCTGGGGTCTCTGAGAGGAAACTTGGACTGTTTGGGGCTGAGGAAGGGAGGGGCACCCGTCACCCTCTTCCTCGTCTGCCTGGGAGGGGCGGGCAAGTGCCCGCAGGCTCCGGGGCACCTGGGCACGCGTGTCTCAGTGCGCTGTGTGGGTCTGAGGCGGCCGGGAGCCCGGCCCCCACATACCTGAGCAGCCGCAGCCCGGCTGGCTTCTGTCTTCCGGCCCCCGCCAGCCCCCCCACCCCTGTTCCAGTTTCCCAGGATGCGCTGCTATTAATAGCCCCCGGCCCTCTGCCCTCCTTCCTGCAGCTCTTGTTGGCGTGGCTCCGTGCCAGGCCTCCCCGCGTGGTCGGGGACTCCCGTGGAAGGCCAGCCAGCTCTGTCGCAGGGAGGGGGCCGGGGGTCCTGGCCCTGCCTCGGGGCAGAGAAGGGCCGTCCAGGGAGAGTTGGCATCGCCCACTCAGTGGTTCCCGGCTTCCAGGCCGCCCCCGCCCCCCTGGGCTCCACAGCCCCCTCTGCTCCCCGGCACTGGCCCCTGACGGATGGGTCGGCTCCTGGACATCTGGCAGAGCGTGAAGTGCACAAACTTTCTCCTCTCCACCCCCATCCCCTCCTCCCTCTCTCCTGCCTCGGCCTCTCCTCCCTCCCCTGCTGCCTCCTCCTCCCCAAATCTGCAGCGCCCCTGAAATAGGCTGAATTAATCAGCACATTGGAGCCAGGCTCATCCCGGGCTGGCTGTCCTCTCCTGCCGCCCCTCTGCCGCTCCCAATGCTCTTCAAGCAGGCAGGGCTATGGGCGCCCGCGCAGGGCAAGGGCCACGCGGTGAGTATCCGAGGGGGGGGGAGGGAGGGGGCTGCGGGGGGGGGGGTGCCAGCCCTGCCCAGGCCACGGGGACCAAGAGGTCTCTGGGCCAGGCGGGGAGCTCCCAATCGAGACTGGGCATGAGGTGGGCGCAGGAGGGAGAGGAGAGTGAGGCCGCATGTCTCTGTGCCCCGCCTGCCCTGGGGATGTGCCGGCTCCCGGGACACAGGTATCTGGGGAGGCCCAGGGGTGGGGTGGGGGGTGGGGCGAAGGCTGCACATGGCCGCTCCCCCCAGCAGAACAGGTGGCAGTTGTGACTGGGGGCTCTCTGCTGTCCTTGAGGACACAGCTTAGCCTGGACCTGGAGTCCACCGAGTCCCCAAAGGGATGGGACAGGAGGGAAGCAGGGACAGCCCGGCAGCTTCTGGCACATGCCTCTTAGGGAAGCATCTCCTTGGGAGGGGGCTTCATCTCCCGCCCTGCCGGGTCCCGGTTCAGCGCGGGGAGGTGGGGCGTGGGGGAGAGGAGTCCAGTGTCCTGGAAAGCAGCCTGCTGTGGGGGTTTTGAGCAGAATCTCGCCCCTTGGGGCTCTGGAAGCCTCAGTAGGCCGACCTGGTTGTCCTGAGCGCGGCCAGGAGGATCAGGGGCTCGGTTTACCTCTGAACCCCAAACCTCCCACTTACGCAGCCTCCCCATGCCCATCACCTCTCTCTGCACCTCCCCGGGGAAGGGTTCCCCCAGAGCCCAGACCGGGCCCCTGCCGCTGGGCCCCCGCTGCAGACAAGAGCACACCCGGGCACGGAGGGCCGTGTCCCAGCTTGTGCGGGCAGGCTTTGCCGGGAGGCGTGTAATTAGGAGCCCGCTAAGCGCGGGGTCTGGAGTCAGCGCCCCCGGCAGACGGCGCAGGGGTGGCCGTGCTCAGGCACTGGGCCTGGGATCTGGGGGCAGCCGGGTCGGGTAGGGGGCGGCCAGATAGCCCCAGGCAGGTAGGGGAACTTCCTGAGCACCCGCCTGGGGTGCCTTGCAGGGGGCTCTGCAGCCCCTTGAGGTAGTCTGGGTCCTCCGTTTCCTTCTTTCTCAGGCCCCACTTGGAGCCTGCAGGCCTTTCCTCCTCTGCAAACCAGACCCTCCCCAGACTCCAGGCGGAAGTTTCTGGAAGCCTGACCTCACATCCAGTCTGGGGGACCCCCCCAGCCCTGCCTCATCCTGTGGGGCTTTCCCAAGTCTCCTCTGGGTGCTCCCCTCCCTGGCCTCTTCCGCTTTCTGCCCTCAGAGACATCCCTCCCGCCCACGGCCACTTAAGAGGCCTCAGCTGATATTCATCTGTCCTGGACATGGCCTCTGGGGACCCTGGGCTCCCCGCACTCCCCACCCGAGTGGAGGTTCCTGGGCTCAGTGGCAGCCCTGCTCCTTGAGCCAAAATAAGCAGTTCCTCCCCTCTGGGGAAGAGCCGTGCTGTACCCTCATCCCTAAAGCCGAGGTGGAGGGCCAGGGTTAGGTGGGATGGGGGGCTGTAGAGGGCAGGAGCCCGGGAGGGCGAGGCTGCCCCAGAGCTGGTGGACCGGGGACCCTCGGACCTGCTGGCTGGTGAAGGGGAAGCAGAGATGGGGGGGGGCACTGATCCTGCCGGACTCTGCTCGGTTCCAGGGCTGGACTCTGCTCTTCTGGCCCGGGGGAGCAGGGGATACTCTATCTGAGCCCCCCACCTTGACCAGGGCTGGATTATAGCCTTTGTTTCCACCCCATCTCTCCTCCCATCCCTCCCTCCCCCTCGCCATTGCCAGGCTGGTGGAGCTGTGGACAGGTGGGAGTCAATGGTGTTCTTGGGGCTGGGCAGCCCGGCAGACCCAGTAGGCCCCTGATGACTGGCCACATGGTTTTGTTTTGGGGCCACACCCGGCAGTGCTCAGGGATCCCTCCTCAGGGGACTCTGTATGGTGCTGTGGATCAAACCCAGGTCAGTTGTGTGCAAGGCCAGTGCCTTCCCTACTGTCCTATCTCTAAAAGTAAAAGAAATAATTTTGTGTGTGAGGGGTCACACCTGGTGATGCTCAGGGGTTACTCCTGACTCTGCATTCAGGAATCACCTCTGGAGGTGACTGTGATTGGGGATGCTCAGGGCACCCTGTGGACGGGCTGGGGGTTGAACCTGTGTTGGCTGCGTGCAAGGCAAGTGCCCTCCCTGCCCTACTCTCTCTGGCCCAAATTGTCACTGTCATTGTCACTGTCCTACTGTTGTTCATCGATTTGCTTGAGCGAGAGCCAGCAACATCTCCATTGTGAGACTTGTTACTGTTTTTGGCATATTGAATACATCACGGGTAGCTTGCCAGGCTTTGCTGTGCAGGCGGAATACTCTCCGTAGTTTGCCGGGCTTTCTGAGAGGGGTGGAGGAACCTGGGTCAGCTGCGTGCAAGGCAAATGCCCTACTTGCTATGCTATAGCTCCGGCCCTGGCCCAAATTATTTAAAAAATTTTTTGGTGTGGGTTTGGGCCGTATTTGGCAGTGCTCAGGGGTTACTCATGGCTCTGCACTCAGAAATCACTCCCGGCAGGCTCCAAGGACCATATGGGATGCCGGGGATTAAACCTGGGTTGGCCAAGTGCAAGTCCAGCACCTTCACCACTGCACTGGCCCCCTGGAGTTTCTTTTTCCAGCCACACCGGTGGTTCTCAGGGCCTACTTCTGGGTCTGTGCTGGTGGGGGGCGGGGGGTAGGGCATCATTCTCAGTGGTGCCAGGGTTGAACCCAGACCTCAAGCATACAAGAACTGTGCTTGGCCCTTCTGCCATCTCCTCTGCCCAGTGCTCTCCCCTGTGAAACGTCACTTAGAAATCAGGTGAAGCTTTTCCTTCGCACTTTTATTTGGTTGTTTTTTCCCTCCTGGTGTTAGGAATGCAGCTCAGGGCTTACACTTGGGGTCTCAGCTGCCAAGCCCCGAGCCCCTCCATGTTTTTCCAGGAGATCAGAGCTGGCATTTCTGTGCGGTACCCATATGAATGATGGCGCCCACCAGCCATGGAGGAGGCGGGAGGCTGAGGAGTGGCTGGCGTGGGGCTGGTGGCTGTGGGTTTGCGATGGTGAATCAGGAAGCCCTGCGGAGGACTCTGGGGGAAGGAGCTCCCAAGAGGTGCTCTGGGGCCCGCTAGGCCCGAGGGTGCCTCAGCCAGCAGGGTACCTGGTCCACACCCGGCGGACTGGGCTTCTGCAGGGCGAAATCTGGATGCTGAGGGGTGTGGTACTGGGGATCAAACAGGCTCGTACCCCGATCCCAGTGCTCCAGACCCCAGTGCTCCTGACCCAGTGCTCTTTCCCTGGCTTTGGGCTGGGTTTTAAACTTGGCCTTGAGTGTGGAGTTTGACATGGGCTTTGAATGCACAACCCCTCCCCCCCCACACACACACACAATGAGCAGGAAGAAAGGGTGTGGGCTTGGGGCCTGGGAAGATGAAGGGTCACTCGGCAAGACCCCCCTGCTCTCCAAGGTGGTGCTGAGTGCTTCTCCCTTCTGCAGGGCGAGGCACCCTCGGCCCTGGGCCTGTCCACCAGGAAGGCACTGGGCATCCTAAAGCAGCAGCTGGAGGCAGTGCTGGACGGTCACCTGAAGGAGCGGAAGAAACGGCTCACGTGGAAGGTGGGGTTGCTAGGGCCAGGAAGTGGGGCTCAAATGTTGGCTGGGGGGTGGGCAGGTGACTAAGGACCCCTGCTCCCTACCACCCTAAAAGCGGAAAGCCGGGCTTCCCTTGTCAAGGGAGCCCTGCCCCTCATCTGCTATGCTGGCCCCATGGGCTGCATCCAGTCCAGAGCCGAGCCGGAAGGGTGGTTCCCCGGGACTCGGTGGGTTGGATGGGGCCAAGACCAGGTGTCCCTGCCTCACCTGGTCCCATCTCATAGCCCTGCCCTGTATCAAGGGCCCACCCCCGGGTCTCATAGCTCCGCCCATCACAGCTCTACCCTTGGGTCTCCTGGCTCCGCCCCTGGGTCTCAAGCATCGTTCCTGTCTCAGGGCCCCATCCCAGGGCCTCATGGCTCCGCCTATCACAGCTCTGCCCGGGTCTCATGGCTCCGCTCCTGGGTCTCAGCCCCGCCCCTCCCTCAGTGCCCCGCCCCTGGGCCTTATAGCTCCGCCTCATCAAGCTCTGCCCCTGGGTTTCATGGCTCCGCCCCTGGGTCTCAGGACCCCATCCCAGGGCCTCATAGTTCCGCCCATCACGGCTCTGCCTCTGGGTCTCAGCCCCGCCCCTCCCTCAGTGCCCCGCCCTTGGGCCCCATAGCTCCGCCCTCGGCCTCATACTTCCGCCTCCTCGAGCTCTGCCCCCGGGTCTTACCCTGACCATCCCCCCCCCATATTCCTCGTGTCTCTCGCAGGAGATGTGGAGGAACAGCTTCTTGCACCAGAGTAACCGCTGCTCCTGTTTCCACTGGCCGGGCGCCTCGCTCATGCTGCTGGCCGTGCTGCTGCTGCTGGGGTGCTGCGGGGGCCAGCCGGCCGGCAGGTGCGTGCACAGCCCCGGGCGCTTCAGAGGGCAGGGGGGCAGACACCAGACTGATGGGTGGGGTGGGCCGGGCTGAGCAGAGCAGGAGAGTCTCTCCATGGCAGTTCCCCTGTCCTGCAGCCACGGGGTGGAGCTGGTCAACGCCTGCGCGCTCTTCCTCCTGCTGCTGCTCAATCTGCTGCTCATCGGGCGGGAGGACCGGCTCAGGCGCAGGGAGGTGGAGCAGCGGCTCCGGGGGATCATCGACCAGATCCAAGGTGAAGGCCCGGGCAGCTGGGGCAAGCCCCGCCACCTGTGGGTGCCTGTGGGTGGTGTCCATGGTGCCCAGCCATAAGGTGTGGCCTGTGGCTGGTGTCCTTGCTGTCTGGGCATCTGTGTGGCCTGGGGGCAGTGTCCGTGGTGCCCGGGAACTGGGAGGGAGGCTGGGATTTGCTGCTCAAGTCTGGAGATTGCAGTGAGCCTAGCCCTGGCATCTGCCCTGCCTGTGGGCAAGCAGGCGCCCCATTTGGAGCAGCCCAGTGAGGTTTCTGCTCCTCCCCTTGGTGAGATGTTGGGAGCCCCCGCTGGTGACGGGGTTGTGTTGGTGCTCAGAGGTTGTGAGAGTAGGCAGCCCTCCCTTCCTGGGTGTCCCCTGCAGCTGTGCTGGCTGGTGCTGAAACTCCTGATCAAAGATGACCGGGCCGGGGTTTCAGGTGCAGGAGGCCCCGGCAGTGCTGGAGGCGACCCTGCTCCAGAACCATCCACAGCTTCCCTTTCCTCTTGGCATCTCTCAGCCTCACGTCATGACTCAGCCTCCAGTTCCCACAGTGGGCATCTGGCCCCCCCATAATCTCACCTCCCCTCTCCAGACCCAGCCCAGGGGCTCCCCTTTCCCTGGAGCCAGTTCGGGGCCAACAGCCCCTCATTGGGGTCTTTGAGAGTGGGGTACAGAGCGTGAGAACTCCAGGTGTTCTGGGGACTGGAAGCCCCCCCCCCCCCCCGCAGGAGTTGAGAGGGTCCTTCTGGGAAGTTGGGGAGAGCTGGGGCAGATGTTACTGCTGGGCTGCTGGGAAAGGCAGGGCCAGCTGGATGTGTGTGTGCAGGAGGGGAGGGGTGTGGCAGGCACAGGGCTGACCTGCTGCCCCCCCTGGTGTCCTCCCCAGATGCCCTCAGCGATGGCAGGGAGGTGTTGTGGCCCAGTGCCATGTACCCGGACCTGCACATGCCCTTTGCGCCATCCTGGTCCCTGCACTGGGCCTATAGGGATGGCCACCTGGTCAACCTGCCCGTCAGCCTCCTGGTGGAGGGGGACATCATCGCCCTGCGGCCCGGCCAGGAGTCCTTTGCCTCCCTGAGGGGCATCAAGGTAGCGTGGGGCCCTCCAGAGCTCTGAGGGGCCAGTCTGGCCAGCAGAGGGGTGCAGCCCTCCTGGGTGGGGCTGTCTCGGGCTGCTGGGCATCCAGCACCCCCAAGCCCCCAACACACACAGCCCCTCTGGGGGATGGTCTGGCCTGCACCCACATGCCCAGCCCCGCTCTTCCTGCTCACAGGATGACGAGCATATCGTCCTGGAGCCTGGGGACCTGTTCCCGCCCTTCTCGCCGCCGCCCTCCCCCCGGGGGGAAGTGAAGAAGGGCCCCCAGAGCCCCCAGCAGCACCGGCTCTTCCGCGTGCTGGAGACCCCTGTCATCGACAACATCCGGTAGGGGCTGCTCCCAGTGCCCTGCCTTGCTAAGTGCCTTCTGTTGGTGGCAGGGTGTCGGGGAGCTGGCTCCATCCCTGCTCAGACCATGGGGGTCATGCCTGGGGGCCACTCTGGGGGAAGAAGCTGGAGTTGCCATGGCCCTTCCTTAGGAGGCCCTGCATCCTCAGTGACTCTCACTGCAGCCTGGGATTGCTCCTTGAAGCCTGGGGTTGCTCCCTGCAGCCTGGGGTCATTCATGCAGGCTGGGGTCACTCCTGCAGCCTGGGGTCACTCTTGTGGGCTGGAGTCACTCCCTGCAGGCAGCTGGCCTGCCCCCCTGAGCCACCCCCTTGTGCAGGTGGTGCCTGGACATGGCCCTGTCCCGGCCCGTCACTGCGCTGGACAACGAGAGGTTCACGGTGCAGTCGGCGATGCTGCACTACGCCTTGCCTGTGGTCCTGGTGCGTGGGGCGGGGGCGCCATGGTGAGGGGGTGAGGGTGGAGCTGGCGGGGGGTGAGGGTGGAGCTGGCAGGGGCTGAGGGCTCTGTCCCCGACAGGCCGGCTTCCTCATCACCAACGCCCTGCGCTTCATGCTCAGCGCCCCAGGGGTCACCTCCTGGAAGTATACCCTCCTCCAGCTGCAGGTAGCCCGGCCTCCCCGCCGCGCCCCCAGCCCCGTGCCCCCTCTCCCCTCTGCCCCTCCACGCCCCCACGTGTCCATCTGTCTCCCCACCCCAGGTGAACGGCGCATTGCCCATCCTCCCGCTGCTCTTCCCTGTGCTCTGGGTCCTGGCCACTGCCTGCGGGGAAGCGCGTGTTCTGGCGCAGATGAGCAAGGCCTCCCCCAGCTCCCTGGTAGGTGCTAATAGGGGCAGGGTGCACCCTAGCAAGCGGGCTGGAGTCCTCCGCCTCCTGGGCTGCGGCTGTGGCCCTCGCCCCCTGCCAGGCGGCCTCCAGGACCCTGGGGTCTCTGGCACCTACAGGGTCTGGGGCGCGGGGCACCATGGTGGGGTGGCCTTTACCTGCCATCTGGGGGTCCCGGGCGAAGGGCCAGCCCGCCCGCTGAGGTCGCCCCCCTCTGTCCACACAGCTGGCCAAGTTCTCGGAGGACACACTCAGCAGCTACACAGAAGCCGTCTCCACACAGGTATCCCCAAGCCACTGCCCAAGCACCCCCAGGCTCCTTCCCAGACTTCACGGCCTCGGCCTCCCCTCCCACTCCCACCCCCCCCACTTTTCCCACACCGTGTCCGGGCCGGGCCCTGATGGTTCTCGGCAACCCCCGACCTCTCAGGCCCTGTTCCTGGCCTCACTGTCCCCCCCACCCCCCAGGAGATGCTCTGCTGTGTCTGGGAGCACTTCCTGCAGGTGGTCCGGGGCACATCGCCCACCCTCAGCCACAGCTCAAGCCTGCTGCACAGCCTGGGCTCCGTGACGGTGAGGTGCGGGGGGGCGGGGGCTGGGGGGGGCAGTTCCCCGCCCTGCCCTCACACCCACGTGCGCGCGTTCCCCCCCCCCCCCCCCGCAGGTGCTGTGCTGCGTGGACAAGCAGGGCGTCCTTTCGTGGCCCAACCCCAGCCCCGAGACCGTGCTCTTCTTCAGCGGGAAGGTGGAACCCCCGCACAGCAGCCATGAGGACCTGACGGAGGGCCTGTCCACCCGCTCCTTCTGCCACCCTGAGGTGGTGGAGGAGGTAGGGCCGGGGTTGGCCTTGGACCTGGAGTGCCGGCATGCCCGGCATGCCCGGCGCCCAGGGCCCGGCCCAAGCCCTTTCCCTCTGCCTTTGCAGCCGCAGGAGCGGGATGCCCTGTTGACAGGGTCCCTGAATACCTCCTTCCACTTCACCAGCGAGCAGGAGCGCGGGGACTGGCCGGCAGACCGGTCCAAGGCCCCTGAGACGCATGCCCACCCCAAGGGCCCTGGCCGCAGCAAGCACCACTCCGGCTCCAATGTCAGCTTCAGCCGTGACACCGAGGGTGGCGAGGATGAGCCCCGGAAGGTGGGGTGCCCTGGGGGCCAGGGGCCATCACCCCAGAGTCCACCGGGACCCCTCCTGTCTCCCTCCTGCCCTTCCCTCCTTATTGCATCGTGCCAGACAGGAAGGCTGGGCTCGAGGCCTCTGTGACAGTGAATCCCGAGCCAAGAGCTGGGGGTGGCCCCAAGCACTGCCCGGAGTGGCTCTGAAACGATAGAAACACTAGACAGAAGCCACACTCCGGTGCTGACCCTGGGAGGGACGCGTTCAGCGAGGGGGACTGGGTTCCAGGCTGCAGACCCAAACCAGACCAGCTGCTCCAGGCCGAGAGACGTCCTCGCACCCCTTCTGGTCTGGCGTCCAGCTCCGAAGACCTGCTTGTGTCTGGGGCCTGGGGTGGGGGGCAGGGGGGATGCCACTGGGAGCCAGGGCGGGGCAGGAACACTGTGTGGAGAAGCAGGGGCTCCCTTGACCAGCTCGTCCCCCCACGTCACCCAGAGCCTGCCGGGGCTGGACGGCCAGGCCTTCGAGGCCGAGGACTTCGTGTGCGACTACCACCTGGAGATGCTGAGCCTGTCGCAGGACCAGCAGAACCCCTCATGCATCCAGTTCGATGACTCCAACTGGCAGCTGCACCTCACGTCCCTCAAGCCGCTGGGCCTCAACGTACTGCTGAACCTGTGCAGCGCGGGCGTCACTGAGCGGCTCTGCCGTTTCTCCGACCACCTCTGCAACATCGCGCTGCAGGAGAGCCACAGCGCCGTGCTGCCCGTGCACGTGCCCTGGGGTCTATGCGAGCTGGCCCGCCTCATCGGTGCGTGCAGGCAGGCCCCAACCCCCACAACTCCCCCCGCACCCCTGCTGTGCTGATGGTGGGAACAGCTGGGACCCGGCTGGGGGCCCTCCATGCCACGGGAGGATGCACAGGGGCCCAAACTTTGGGGCCCAGGGGTCTGAGTTCCTGCTCTGCGCCCCCAGGCTTCACGCCAGGCGCCAAGGAGCTCTTCAAGCAGGAGAACCACCTGGCACTGTACCGGCTGCCCAGTGCCGAGTCGGTGAAGGAGACGTCCCTGGGCCGGCTGTCGTGTGCCACCAAGCGGCGCCCACCCCTCAGCCACATGATCAGCCTCTTCATCAAGGACACCACGACCAGTGAGCCGACTGGGGCGGGCAGGGCAGAGCAGGGGGACTGGGTGCGGGGGCAGTGGACACTCACGGTCCTGGTGTCCCCCTACTGCAGGCACTGAGCAGATGCTGTCCCACGGCGCCGCGGACGTGGTCCTCGAGGCCTGCACCGACTTCTGGGACGGGGCTGACATCTACCCGCTCTCAGGCTCCGACAGGTGGGGACGGGGCTGCGCTGGGCTCCAGGTTCCTGGATGCCGGCTGCCTCTGGGCACCCCTCACTTCCACCCGTTCCGCTTCCCGTGCAGGAAGAAGGTGCTGGACTTCTACCAGAGGGCCTGCCTGTCCGGCTACTGCTCAGCTTTCGCCTACAAGCCCATGAGCTGCAGCCTGTCCTCCCAGCTCAATGGCAAGTGCATCGAGCTGGTGCAGGCACCTGGCCAGGGTGGCATCGTCAGCACCTGTGAACTGCCCAGTACCATCCCACTGAAGCTGGGCGGGCGCCGCAACAGCTGGAGCTCTGACGGTACCCGCACGCCTGGGCCTGGGGAGCAACCTGCAGCTGTGATGGGGTGACCGGAAGGGCCGGGTTATGGAGCCAGCGGGGATGGAGGGACTCAGGGCACACTCGCCTACACGCTCTGTCAGAGGCACCCTCTCTGGGTCTTGGACCCTGGGGGGCCCTGGGCGGCCTGCCTGTGGGTGGCTGAGGGTGGGGCCAGCCTCACTCTGCCCTCCGGACGGTCACTTGACTGATGAGTGTTTTTCATTGTTTTTTCTCCATGTCTGTTGGCACCTTTGTGTGTGTGTGTGTGTGTGTGTGTGTGTGTGTGTGTGTGCGCGCGCGCCTACTGTCCTGGCCGACCCCACCTCGTGTCTGAAGAAGGGATCGGGGAGGTGCTGGAGAAGGAAGACTGCATGCAGGCCCTGAGTGGGCAGATCTTCATGGGCATGGTGTCCTCCCAGTACCAGGCCCGGCTGGACATCGTGCGCCTCATAGATGGGCTGGTCAATGCCTGCATCCGCTTCGTCTACTTCTCCCTGGAGGACGAGCTCAAAAGCAAGGTCAAGGGCCGGCTTGGGCCTTGGGGCCACCCCAGCGCTCTTCCGTCGGGCTTGCCGCCTCATGCTCACGGCCCTCCGCCTTCCCCAGGTGTTTGCCGAGAAGATGGGCCTGGAGACAGGCTGGAACTGCCACATCTCCCTGACGCCCAATGGGGATCTGCAGGGCTCCGAGATCCCCCCCTCCAGCCCCAGCCACGCCGGCTCCCTGCACGAAGATGCCAATCAGGGTGAGGGCCGTGGCGGGGGTGCAGCTTCCTCTGGGGCCCCTCTGATAGGCCTGGGCCCTGCCGTGGCAGGCAGAGAGGCTGGAGCAGGAGGCTTAGTCTCGCAGGCTGTACTGGACCTGACAGGCCTTTGACCCCGCAGTGTCCCGAGATGACCCGGAAGGGCTCCTGCTCATGGAGGAGGAGGGACACTCAGACCTCATTAGCTTCCAGCCGACGGACAGCGACCTCCCCAGCTTCCTGGAGGACTGCAACCGGGTACAGTCAGGGCCTGAGGGAACCCAGGGGGGTCTGGGGTGAGAAATGCAGGTGGAGGGGCCCTTCACCCCATCCCCCCCATCTGCTTCCTCCAGGCCAAGCTGCCCCGGGGCATCCACCAGGTGCGCCCCCACCTGCAGAGCATCGACAATGTGCCCCTGCTGGTGCCCCTTTTCACCGATTGCACCCCCGAGAGTGAGCACCCCTGCACCCCCCTGCTGAGGAGCTCCCCTGGGCAGCCGCTGGGTGGACGTCTGGGAGGCTGGCTTGGGGGGGTCCCGCCCCTCCCGCCCCGGGGCTGTGCCCACCTGATGCTGCTCCCGCTCCTGCCCAGCCATGTGTGAGATGATCAAGATCATGCAGGAGTACGGGGAGGTGACCTGCTGCCTGGGCAGCTCTGCCAACCTGCGCAACAGCTGCCTCTTCCTGCAGAGCGATGTGAGGTCAGCGCTGGAGGGCCCCCTCACCGGGTGGGGAGGAGGATGCAGGTGCCCACGCAGGGCTGTGGGGGTGGGTCCTTGGGGGTGCCACTGACAGTGCTGGGGCCCCTTCCGCAGCATTGCCCTGGACCCCCTGTATCCGTCCCGCTGCTCCTGGGAGACCTTTGGCTATGCGGCCAGCACCAGCATGGCCCAGGACTCGGACAGCCTCAGCCCACTGCGGCTCTCGGGCCAGCTCAACAGCCTGGCCTGCTCGCTGACTTTCCGCCAGGAGGAGACCATCAGCATCATCCGCCTCATTGAGCAGGTGGGCGCTGGGGTCTGGGGGCGGGGGGCGCCGGGCACGGGGCTGGGCGAGCCCCTGTGGTTCCTGTCTCCGCAGGCTCGCCACGCCACCTACGGCATCCGCAAGAGCTTCCTCTTCCTGCTCCAGTGCCAGCTGATGCTCGTGGCCATCCAGGTGAGCCGGGACAGCCGGGCACCGCACTAGGCCTGCCCCATTGCTCACAAGAGCCCTGTGCAGCCCCTGGGACCTGGTCCCTCCCTTTGCGCCCCCTCTAGCCCCCACCTCGTTTCTCCCACCCAGTTCCTCGCCTGCCTGGTGCAGCTGCCACCCATCCTCAGTACCACCGACATCCTCTGGCTGTCCTGCTTCTGTTTCCCACTGCTCAGGTGAGTGTCAGGCCTCCTGCACAAGCAGCCAGGGGTCCCAGGAGCCCGGCTTCTCTGGGGGGTGGGGCATGGAGGGTCCCAGTCACTGCCCCTCACCTGCCTCTGTTGCCCAGCATCTCCCTGCTGGGAAAGCCCCCTCACAGCTCCATCATGTCCATGGCGACGGGGAAGAACCTCCACTCCATCCCTAAGAAGGTGAGTACCCCACGACTGGGAGCCTGGTCAAGCCTGGCGGTGGGGGCAGGACCTTAGGGGCGACCAGTGACACACCCCTTCCTCACAGACCCAGCACTACTTCCTGCTCTGCTTCCTGCTCAAATTCAGCCTCCCGGTGGGCTCGTGCCTGGTCTGCTTCGGCTTCACGCTGCAGAGCTTCTGCGACAGTGCCCGGGCCCGCAACCTCACCAACTGCTCCTCCATCATGCTGAGCAGGTGCGAGCAGCCAGGCCTTCCGGGCCTCCCCCAGTGACCCCGCCCACCTCTCTGGGCTTCACCCCCACCCGCCCATCTCCCTGGCTCAGTCTGTGCCTTGCTCCGGCAGCAATGTGGACACGGCTCCTGCCTGGTTTGATGACTTTGCCAATGGGCTGCTGTCAGCCCAGAAGCTTGCTGCAGCTCTGATCGTCCTGCACACGGGTGAGGCGGCTCCCTGAGCTGACCAAAGGCAGCTGGGGGTGAGGGAGGGTTGCCCCCAGGAACTGGCCTGATCCTGCTTACCACCCATCTTCCCTAGTCTTCATTTCTATCACACACGTGCACCGCACCAAGCCTCTGTGGAGGAAGAGCCCGCTGACCAATCTGTGGTGGGCGCTGACCTTGCCTGTGGTGTGAGTGGGGGTGACCGGTGGGCGGGGCAGTGACTGGTGGGCGGGGCCTGATCGGTGATGGGGCCTTGACTGGTGGGCGGGGCTGTGACCGGTGGGTGGTGCCTTGGCTGGTGGGCGGGGCCCTCCCCAGGCTTTCCCAGTCCCAGCTGAGCTCGGGAGGAGTAGCTGAGCTCAGGGTTCTGGCCCGCAGACTGCTGGGGCAGCTGGCCCAGACGGCCGTGGATCTGCAGCTATGGACGCACAGGGCCAGCCACGTGCACTTTGGCCCGGAGGATGTGCCTCTGCTGACGTGGCTGCTGGGCTGCCTGTCCCTGGTCCTCGTGGTGGTCACCAACGAGATCGTCAAACTGCACGAAATTCGGTAGGGCGGCCACATCTCCCGCTCAGCCTTGGCCCTAAGCTGTCCCGTCCCCACCGGCGCCCTCACAGCTCCTTCCTCCTAGGTCTGGGGGGGGAGGGGGTCTGCATTAACCTGGACTTTACCTTTACTCTTATCTTGGTTTGGGGCCCGTCCCTGGTTCTGTGCTCAGGGATCACTCCTGGTGGGGCTTCAGAGCCCTTGGGGTGCCGGGACTCAAATCCTGGCCACCTGCTGGTCACCTGGGGGGCTCTGGCCCTAATCTGGACTTTAACTTCCTGTCCCCAGGGTCCGTGTCCGCTACCAGAAGCGCCAGAAGCTGCAGTTTGAGACCAAGCTGGGCATGAACTCTCCCTTCTGAGCTGCCCACTAAATGGGTATCATGAATGTTTCAGAGCTGTGGGGGCCAGCTGAGGTCCTAGCCGCCAGGTTCCTCATTAGGAGACTGAGTCTCCTCCATGCCTGGCCAGGAGCATCATGAATGTCCAGCCTCATGCGCCAAGCGGAGGGTCCCCTAACACTGTTGTGCTGCCCGTCAGGGTCCCCTAGTGCCCTGTTCCAGTCTGGGCAGTTGAGAACCTGGGCCCCCTGTGTGAACATTTCTTGAAGAAGAGTCGGCAGCTGCTGGGGGTTGGAAGTGTCCCTGGGGGTCATGCCAGAAGTTGGGGTGCTGGTGTGCTCCCATGCCCCGAACCCTCCCTTCCTGATGCTGGAACCTGGAGGGGGGACAAGCACTTCCCCTCCCTCCCACTGAGCCCCCCATGCCTCACCCTACACCCCCTCAGGCTAGCCACCAGAGCAGGTCTTGGGGACCCGACCCAGGCAGAGTTCCCCACCTCACACCCCCACCCAGTTTTCCCGCGAGAATGTTTTTTACTCTGCGTGTTTTTTACTGAAAATGAACCTTTAGGAACGAATGCAGACTGGTTTGTATTAAAAGTTATAAACTGCTGAAGAAAAACCCGTGGCTGGTCCACAAAGCCTCAAGATGGCACCAAGGCCTGGCCAGGGTTGAGCCCTGCGAGTTCCTGGAGGTGCTGGCACAGACCCAAACACAGGCAACCACGTGGAATGACAATGACACTTTCATTGGTGTTAGTGGGGCGTGGGAGGGGTGACGGGTTACAGAGCCGGGTGGGGCCGCCTACTGTGGTCCGAGACCCCGCCCCACTGGCCTCTCTGGCAGTTACAGAATAAATTCCATTTAAAATATATGCATTTCTCTCTGCTTAAAAAATAACATTTACAGTTGAAAGTCAGGACTTGGGAGATTAGTTCATCCCGCTGCCCTATACAAGGCAGGCCTTGGGGGGCTTATTTACATGTCCGGGCCCAGGGAAGGCACCTCAGTTGGGGGGGGGGGCAGGGGAGGGAGCAGCAGGTGCCACACTGGGGGGGAGGCCACGGGGATGCTGCCCAACAGGACCTTCCGTGGCCTCCCAGCTGCAGTGTGACCAGCCGCTGGCCTGTACTTGGTGTCTTCTTCCATGCCATTCTGGCTCAGTCCAGCATGGCGTCCAGTTGGTGGGCCAGGGCATCAAACATGGTGCTGATATCATCCAGGATGTGCTTGGTGGAAGTACCAGGTGGGCTGCAGGGTGTTGGGGAGAGGAGGCCCAGTGAGCTGATGGCCAGCACCAGTGTGGGGACACACACCCACCTATGGTCCTCATTCGGGCCCTCCCCGAAGTGGGGGTAGGGAGTGATCGCCCAGACTCATGGTGCTGTGTGAGGGACCAGCCAAAGCAGGACAGCAGGGGCCTCCTGTCTTGGGGCACCCTCCCACTCCCCACTGTCTGGGAAGGGCGGGTGCCCTCACCCTTCTCGCTCCTCTGCGCCGATGCTCTTCTCGGCGACCCTGAGTGCGGCGGCCAGGGAGGTGCTGGTCTGTTCCAGCCGCTGCTGGGCGCGGCCTGGGCACACGGGTCCCACACTGTCCGGCCTGGGTGGGGGCACTGGGCGGGGCCCCAGCCGGGCTGCCAGCTTGGGGCCAGAGAAGGCTAGCTGGGTACAGGCCACGGACACAGGCTTGGGAGCCGTTCCTGCAGACAAGGATGGCTGTGAGGTGTCAGGGAGGGGGAGCTGGTGGCTGATGCCCCCTCCCTCCCACAGCCCCATCTCACCTGCTCCGGGCACTTTGAGTAGGGCCGTGGGGACTGTAGGGGGTGCGGGGGGTGCAGGGGGCTCCGTCTCTCTGGGCCGTGCAGCCTCCACTGTGTGTTCTGGGTCAGGCCCCAGGCCTGGGAGCGTGGGCTGCTGTGAGGGGGCTGCAGGGCCCGGAGCCCCTTGGCTTGGAGGGTTGCTGGGCTCAGGCTGGGGTGTGGGGACAGTGGGGGCGGACGCCGCGGGGCTGGGCATGGCGCTGGCCACCCCGAAGGCCTCCAAGGCTGTCTGCAGTGGCTCCCGCTCCCGGCACCGGGGCCGCCGTTTCACCGTGTCGGACTCCGTGAGGTTGAAATCCAGGCCTGGGGGCATGGAGGTCTCCCGGGCTGGGGGCCCGGCAGGCTTGGGACGCTGCTTGATTGTCAGGTTCCCCTCCTCCGCAAACGGCAGCCCTTCCCCGGAGCTGCCCCGGGATGGGGGTGTCCCTGTGGGGCCTGGCTCCTCCTCCGTGTCCGAGGCCGGCCCGGCCGGGGCTGGGGGGCCCGGGGGCTCGGATGGGCCCGTCGGTTCACTCAGTGTCCGCCTTCGGGGTCCCCCGGCCCCCTCCTTGGGTCCTGAGCCCGTGTCTGCAGGGGGCGGCTCTGCAGTGGGTCCGGAGACAGAGCTGAGGCGTTTGGGGGGCGGGGGCGGGGGTCCTTTGCGGCGGGCCCGCAGGGCGAAAGACTGACTGCGGGGTGTCCCGGTGAGGGTGCTGCGCCCTGGTCTCCGAGTCAGGGTGGCATAGCTGCCGAGGGCACTGCCCACTGGCCCCGGGGCCTCCCCCTCCGTGTCCCCCTCAGCTGGGCCTGGGCGACTCAGGCTGTGTGACCGGCGCTTGGGCCGAGGCGGGTCCGGGGGGGCAGCCGGGGGTCCCACCAAGTAGGAGAAGGCCCGGGGAGCGCCTGTGGGTGTCCCTGAGGCAGGGCTGGAGGGTGAACCCTGGGGGCACATGAAGACATAAGCGGGGGGCCCCTGGCCGGGAAGTGAGGAGCAGAGCTTGGAGGGCCTCTCGGTGCCCTCCGGGAGGTTCCGCTCCTGGGGGCTGCTGGAGCTGCCCCCACAGGCCAGGGGCGCTGGCGGCTCCTGTGAGTGGCCCGACCCCCGTGAGCGGGCGCCGATGCTCTCCTGGCTGGGTGAGCGGGTGGGGGGCAGGGGCAGTGGCTCGGGGGCCCCCCCAGCCATAGCCGCCTGCAGCTCGGGACTCAGCTCGCTGCCCTGGAAGGTGAGCAGGCGGGGGCCGGCTGCCAGCGGGGGCGCATCCCCGTTCTCCAGCCCCTCGATGGCCATCAGCTCTGGGCCCCTGGCCAGCCGGCGGCCACCTTCACCCGGCGTCTCTCCCTGCAGCAGACCCCGGCGTAGCTCGGCCAGACGCTTGACCCCCAGCATGAGTTTCTTCTGGTGACCTAAAGTGGGCAGAGGGTGGTTGGGCGGGGGCGGGGCATGTGGGGACATGGACGGCAGCTCCCCCTGCCCCTCGGTACTCACCCAGCTTGTTGACGCCGATCTCCTGCAGCTCCTCCCAGGTGAGGTCGGCCACCAGCCCCATGGAGTCGTAGCCGCTGCTCACCAGCTGCTTGTGGTACTGTGGCAACCCCAGTGCACACAACCACTCCAGCAGGTCAGCCTGGGGGGGTGCGCACGGTCAAGCCAGCCAGCGGCCACGGGCCCCACACTCCCGGGAGGCCCCGCGGTCCAGCACGCACCGGGATGTAGCTGGGCAGCCAGTCGGCAATGCTGAGCTGCGCAATCTCGGAGGCGATCTTCTTCCGGTGGCCCGGCTTGGTCACTCCGATAGCCGTCAGGTCCTGCCACAGAGCTGTGCCCTCAGGCCCCTGCCCGCCGGGGGTGCCCGGCCCACCCAGGACGCCCAGCCCATGCCTTCCTGGTGCCCACCTCGGGTGTCATGCGGCTGATGGTGGGCACATCGTAGCCGGCCTGCAGGAAGTGGGCGGTGTAGCCCTCCAGCTGGAACTCGCTGAGCCAGTTGTGGATGGCCTGTGCATCCTGCGGGTGGGACAGCAGGTGAGCCCACTGCGCCCCACACCCTGCCCCTGCCTCGCCCGTCTGGGGGGCTCGCACTTTCCCCTCCAGCAGCTGCTCCGGCCTCACGTCCTGGGTGAAGGGCTGATCCCCGGGGCGGTGGCCAGCGGGAGGTCGTTGGCCCGGGGTGTCTGTGGGCGGGAGAGACCCAGTCAGAGGGGTGGGGTGAAGGCCTCCCCGCCCCCCACCCTCTCCTCTCCTACCTGCCAGGAGCGAGGGGTGCAGTGCGGGCAGTGCTGGCTCCTCTGCGGCCGAGGGCAGCGGCTGGAGACAAGGAAGGGCCGAGAGTGGGAACCTGGCTGCCCGGGTGGGACCTGCCCGGGGGCCCTGCCCACCCTCCTACCTGGGCGTTCTCAATCAGGAGGCCAGTGCCGTGGCCGCTGGTGCCCTCGGAGCTCTGTCCACTGCCGGCACTGCGGATGCTGCCCACGCTGCCCTCGCTGCCCACGCTGTTCCTGTCACCTGCTGTGGGGCACATAGCCAAGGGTCAGTGCCCTGGCGGGCAGTGGTGGTGCAGTCAACAGCTGCTCAGCATCCTGCCCCGTGCAGGCTGGGTGGTACCTGGGCTGTCTGGGCTGAGGCCCCCACGCGGGCCGTAGGCAAGAGGGTGCAGGAGGTCGTCGGCAGGGGGCTGAGGGGTCCGCGAGAAGCCTGGGCGCAGGGGGGTGGGCGCGGAGGGGAGGCGGGCTGCAGGGAGGCCCCCCCGCTTGCTGACCACCTCCACGATGCCCGGGGGGAAGTAGCCCACGCGGTCCGTGCCCCTCTGGCTCTCGTGGATGTGGCCCTTCCAGCGGCCGTCCGGGTGCTGCTCCAGGACCTGCGCCAGCAGGGGGCAGGTGGGTCTCTCTGCCCCTGCCCCCGCCCTGCCCCCAGCCCCAGCCAGCAGCCTCTGCTGTCCAGAGCGCCTGGCCGTGCCCAGCAGAGGCTCACCGTGATCACATCCCCCGCCCGGATGTTGAGGGCCGTGGGGTCGTGCAGGTTCCAGAAATCCTTGAGTGCGCGGACCTTCAGGATCCCGGAGGCTTCTGAGAGACGCAAGCTTGGGGTCACGGGGACAATGCCGGCGACCACACCCTTGCCCACTGTGGTAGGGGCGCCACCGGGCTCTGGGTACCGGCCAGGGAGCTGTGCAGGGCGGGTCCAGATGGGGCTTGGGGTACAGGGGCCAGTCAGAGGCTGGTCAGGGCGGGTCCAGATGGGGCCTGGGGCCTGGGGGGTCGGTTGGGGCCGGGGCGGGGCGGGGCGGGGCTCACCCCGCAGCAGCTGCTTAATCTCCCGGCTGGCCTGCGAGGTGGTGAACTGGTTGACAATGTCCAGTGCCGTCTGGTTGTACGTGTTGCGGATGTTGGCGTCCACCCCGCCCTGTGTGTGTGGTGTCCCCCTTGTGAACACGAGCCCCACCCTCTGCTCTCCCCACCCCGCCTCAGCCCACTCCGTGGGGGAAGCCATTTTGGATCTCTGCAGGGAGGGCACAAGCTCCGAGCAGGTCAAGGCCATGCCCTCAGCTCTCGGGGTCCCCTGGGCGAGGCCTGCACCCACCTCTAGGAGCAGGCGCACCACCTCAGTCTTGCCGTAGAGTGCGGCCTCGTGCAGCGCCGTGCCCGTCTTGGTCTGCCTGTTGATCTCGATGCCGGCACGCAGGAGCTGCCTGTGGGGGCAGGGGGCACTGTCCAGTGGGCAGGACACCCAGGGGCCTCAACAGCTGCACAGGAAGGGAGGAGGGAGGAGGGGAGAGGCGGATACCTGATGACTTCCCGGTGGCCATTCTTGGCGGCCAGGTGCAGGGGTGTGGTGTAGTTGGGGTCACATGGGTCCTTGGCTTCACCCTCCAGCAGCGCCACGCAGAGGTGGCTGTTCAGGAGCAGCTGCGCCACCTGCAAGCCAGGCTCGAGTTGGGCTCCTCCCGCCAGCGGGGCACCCCGCCCGGCTCCCCACCCCGAGGCCAGGGCCTCACCTTGAGCCTGCCGAACTCACAGGCCAGGTCCAGGGGCGTCTTCTTGGCTTTGCTGAGGAGGCAGGGGTTGGACTGATGCTGCAGGAGCATTTCCGACTGGGGGGAGGCAGGGGGTGCTCAGTAAGACACGGTTGGGCCAGCACGGTGCCCCCCACCCGCCCTCTGGGGTGTCCAGGCTCACGTACCACCTCGTAGTGCCCATACTGGGCGGCCAGATGCAGCGGGATCTGCCCATCCAGCGAGGCGGCGTTCACGGCCGCGGCCGCCCGCAGCAGCAGCCGCACGGGCTCCAGCCGGCCCTGCCAGGCCGCGTAGTGCAGTGGGCGCATGCCTAGGGGGCCAGGGCGTGAGCGCGGCCAGGGCCAGGAAGAGCCTGGGGCTGCAGACCCCAAGTGGACCCCCGCCCCAGCCTCCTGCCCCGCGTCCGTGCCCAGGAACTGGCGCGAGAGACACTCAGGGTGGGGATCGGGCACAGCCTGCCCTGCTCATCTGTGGGACACCTGGCAATCGGGGGGCTGGGGAGTGGCGGGAGGGTCTCACCATTGCTGTCCTTGATGTCCACAGTAGCCTGGGCATCCAGCAGCAGAGTGATGAGCTCCAGGCTGCCCCCCAAGGCAGCATGGTGGAGTGCAGAGAATCTGGTGTGGGACACGGGTAGCAGGTTAGGGGGTGGTCCCCAGCCCAGCCCTGACCCGTCCTGGGGGCTGGCACGGAAGAGCTGCTGGCCCGGGCGCCCCCTTCACCCCCACCCCGCCGGGCCCGCTGAGTGGCTGGGCCACAGCATGAAAGGGCCCAGTGTCCGTGCTGAGAAGCCTGTTTGTCTGCCGCCCCCAGGAGGGGCCGTGGGAGCAGTGCCCGCGGGCTCCGACCCTCTGGGGAGAAGAGGGATCCAGCAGGATCGCACCCAAGGAGGCCCCTGCAGGCTTGGGGCCTGGGGTGGGACAGGGCCCTTGGCCCTGGGGTCCCACTCACCCGTCAGTGTCCTGGAGGTCTCCAACAGCCTGTCAGCATCCTGGGGATCCCCACTCACCCATCAGCATCCTGAGGGTCCCCACTCACCTGTCAGCATCCTGGGGGGTCCCCACTAGCCCATCAGCGTCCTGGGGGTCCCCACTAACCCATCAGTGTCCTGGGAGACCCCACTAACCTGTCAGTGTTCTGGGGGACCCCACTAACCTCCCCATCAGATTCCTGGGGGTCCCCACTAACCCGTCAGCATCCTGGGGGTCCCCACTAATCCCCCATCAGCGTCCTGGAGATCCCCACTAGCCCATCCATGTTCTAGGGGTCCCCACTAACCCCCTATCAGAGTCCTGGGGGTCCCATCAGTGTCCTGAGTCCCACTCACCCGTCAGCGTCCTGGTAGTTGACATTGAATCTCTTGGTGGAGCCGAGTAACTCTGGGGTAGGAGAAAAAGCCGCTGTCAGGGCACCTTCAAAGCCCCCAGCCCCACCCCGACCTAAGGGGGTTCCCTGCCCCCGCTCCCCATGTCCCCTTGCAGCTGACCTGGTGCGCAGGATAGCACCTGCCCCATGGCCAACACTGCCAGCCCCAGCCCCAGTCGGTGTGGGCAGCGCTCTGGGTTCGGCCTGCGGGTTTATAGGCCCGCAGGGGGCAGGGAGGGGGCTGGCATGCCTGGCCCTTGGCAGACAGGCCCACGAGTACATGGTTGGCATTCCTGCCCGCACAGGACACCAGGGGCCCCACTGTTCCAGAGCTGAGGGGGCAGAGAGAGAGGGCAGGGCACTGGATGCCCGGGGGGCCAAGGACATGCCTGGGATGAGCAGAGGGGAAAGGTGATGCGCACTGTGTGACCTCGGACAAGTCTCTTAACCTCTCTGGTCCCAGCTCTGCCAGGTCCGAGCTGTGTGACGCTAGGCAGGCCCTGCACCCTCCTGAGCCTTGTGTCTCTTCGAGGGTGGCTGACCCCGGGCACCCCCACCAGTGAGCCTTAGATCTGAGGTCACCGCAGAGGTGGGCGTGCCCTTCCCCCCTGGCAGTGGAGTGACAAGCTTGGATGCGGGCGGGAACCTGGGCACTGGAGGCGGCGGCCCTGCGGGGTGCGGGCGGGGGAAGGTAACGTGTCATGGGCACCGGCTGGAACCCCCCGCCCCTGCCGGGAAGGAGGCGGCGGCGGCGCACCCCGGGCTAGGCAGGGCGCCAAGCATGCTGGTCCAGGCCTGCCCCCCGGCCCTGGTGGGCCTCTGAATCCCCTCGCACGCCAGGGCCCTGTTCCAGCAGGGAGGACAGAGCTGGCAGCGGGGCGCAGGGGTGCGGATGGGGGCACGGCTAGATCACGCTCCACCGCAAAGGGAAACACGGAGCCGACAAGTGAGCGGTGACGGCAGGGCTAAGGGGGTGGGAACCCTCGGGGAAGAAATGCAGCCCCCCCTGGAAAGTCCTGGTCCCGCAGAACCATTCAGGGCAGCGGAAGAAACAGAAGGTTCTAGAAGCAGGAAGCGCACGGTTCCGACGCGTGCTTTTCCTCTTCCTGGCTGTGTGGCCTTGGCCACTTGGGGTGCCCTCTCTGGGCCCCGGTGAAGACAAGGAACAGACCGGGAGCCGCATCCGGCCCTCCCTCCGCTGGGATGGCCCAGACGGACGGGCCGTGGGGACGGCCCGAGATACGGTCCCTCCGGGGAGTGGCGGGACAATGTGACAGGAGGGACAGGAACAGGGGCCGGCTGGGGCTGGGTGGCTCTGTTCTTTCCAGAACAATGGCCGGAAGGGCCGCAGGACCCGGCAGGGCCTTGGCAGCGGCCAGGGCTGGAAGGGCGCTGCGCCGCCCGATTTAGGCCGGGCAGAGGATGTGAGCTCAGCCCCCAGCCCACCCCGTTTCCTCTGGCCAGAAAAAGGAGCCGCTGAGAAGGCGTGGGGGAGGGGCAGGGCCAGGGTAGTCACCTGCTCCCGCGACCAGCTGGGGGGTCCAGGGCCAGGTGAGGCCTGCGTGAGCCTGTGGAGCGCTCTGCCCACTCCCCCCTCCACCCCGTGTGCTGGAGCAGTGTCTGGCTGGCGGAGCCTCTGGTTCTGATGATTTGGGGTTGCCCCTCCCAAGGGGAGGGGAGATCCTCTCAGGATAAAGTCTCTAATTCTCAGGTGCAGCCAATGCTGGGGACGCAGGGCAGAGAACACCAGCCTGGGCTGTGTGGTCCGGGGCAGATCACTAGCCCTCTCTGAGCATGCTTCTGCATCTGCCATAGGGACCGCAGGGAAGCAGGTGGGAAGACAGCGATATGCCCGGATCCTTGGAGGTGTCCTCTCTGGGGGAGCTCTTCACCCAGTGGGGACTGGTCTACTCCGTGGTGGGAGACCCCCTGAGGCACAAACCTGGGGTTCCCACATGCAAACCCCATGCACAGTGCTCAGAGTCACCTCTGACAGGGGTGTCCTGCTTGTTCCCAGCTTTCCCAACATCTTGGGCCACATGGGAGTGCCAGCCTGGTCCCTGCGAGTCCACAATCTGGACGAGCCCCTCGGGGACTTGGCAGGGGACCGGCTACCTCACAGTGCCCTGTCACCAGCACAGCCTGGCCAGGGCGAGGTCCCTACCCTGTGTGTGCAGGAAGGCCAACAGCAACATACAGGCCAGAGGAGAGCCCTTAGGGAAGCCCCTCCCCCAGCCCCATCTCCCCACCCTCCTACCAGCCCCAGGTCCAAGTCGGAACCTCTGGCTCCTGGGCCCTTAAATTCCCTCATCCCGGCACCAGAGCCCCCAACCATGGCTACAATGAGTGGTGGGTGGGCAGCTCAGGATGACAAGCCCAGGGAGCCCCAAGTCAGAGGCACCCCTCCCTCGCTGCGGAGATCTTCCAGAAATCAGCTAGGCCGCCCCCCACCTCCAAATAGGTAGAGCAGCGGGGGGGGGGGGGGGGGAGGGATGGAAGGGGGGAGGAGGGCTTAGCTCACTCCCGGGAAACAATCCCAGGCTGAGACAGACGCAGATTCTGGGGCTCAGGGCTGGGGTGGAGCACTGTCTAATTGAGCCTTTGCAGTGCCAGGAGCCCGTGGCTCAGAGGGCACAGCAATGAGGGCCGGAGCAAAAGCAGAGCGGGCAAGGCATTTGCCTTGCATGAGTCTGTCCCAGGTTCGATCCCCAGCACCCCACAGGATCCCCAAACACCGCCAGGAGTGATCCCGGGGCACAAAGCCAGGAGTGACCCCTGGGCACTCCCAGATGGGGCCCAAAAGCCCAAAGCAAACAAAACTAATTGGAGGCCCAGCTTGAAGCACCTGCGGGAGGCAGTGCCGGGGCGGGATCGGGGCCCCTTGGAGTCAGGGTCGAGGGTCAGCAACCTCCTCAGAGCTCCCAAGGGACCTTAGCTCTTGTGCTGACAGGGAGAGAAAGGAGGTCTGCACAGGTTGAGCTGCCCAAGGACGCGTGGCAAAGGGACTCTGCTTCCTCTCCCAGACCTGCCCTGCAGGACTCCTGGCCCCCGGCCGGTGCAGCCTGGGCCCTCGGCTCAGCAGTGAGGAGGCCTCCCCCCCTCCACCCCCCGCACCCGGACTCACTTGTCTTTGCTGCCTTGACCTTGGCCACCAGCTTCTGCACGCCACTCACGTCTCCGTTCTTGACCGCCAGGATCAGGTCCTGCTCCCGCCCCATCCTGGGCGCAGGGCAGATGCAGGGAGCCCGGGGTCAGCGCCCCATGCCTGGGCCCCACCAGGTGTCCCGGGCAGGGGGCAGGGCTGTCGGCTGTCCCAGGCCTGCAGGCTTCTCGTGGAGGTGCCTTGCGAGGGCCCCCCACGGGCAGGGAAACACACCTGTGAACTCTGGACGGCTCTCAGCCTGATCCCTGAGACGTCCCGGGGCTGGGCCCAGCCGGGAACTGCCGATCCTCCCCGCTTGGCTCAGGAGCCCCTGTGTGCGCCCTGAAAGCTGCCGGCATTCCTTGTGCCCGAACAGATGCGTCTGGGGGCTCAGGAGAGGGGCCAGGCCCCGAGCTGAAGGCTGGGCGAGTGCCTGCAGGACCCCAGAAACCGTGCTCAGAGGACAGGGCTGCAGGGAGGGCCCCCCCTGCACGTCCTTGAGGGGAGAAACGACAGGAGCAAGCCAGTAGGGAGAGCGGGAGCTGTCGTGCCCCAGCGGAGCCCGGGGGAGCGGGTGGCACTCTGGCAGGGGGAGGCTGAGTCACTGAACCCCAGGGCACCTGGCAGCACCTCTACCTTGTGCAGGAGGGGCCCTGGCAGCCAGGGCAGGCCGGGCCGGCAGCCTATTCTCCACAGCCCGGGGCTCTGACACCCACAACTGGCAGCAGGGAGGTGGGGCCTGGGAGGGGCGGGCAGGCGGGTGGTGGGCAGGGGTCACTGGGCTGCAGAAAGCACCCTCCGGCCCAGCTCTCTGCCAGGAGCCTGAAACCCTTCGTCCAGGGCTCCGGTGAGTGCCGGAGTGGGGAGCATATGGCACCCCGGTTCTGGCGGGGGTCTGCCGCTGGTCAGGGAGGCACTCGAGCACCTGTTGCCGAGCTGACCCTCAGCCCAGATGGGGGAACAACCGGGCAGGGAGCAGAGAGCTGGGGGCACTGCCGGGAAAAGGGGGGCTCCCCGGGGAAGTCTCCCCCACAAGCCTGCATCCGAGGCCCAGACCCAGGGCTTGAGCGCCGAGAAGCTGACGTCAGTGCCTCGGTGGCCACGAGCGTGCCGCCGTGAGACCTGCGCAGGCCCGCGCCCGGCCCCCCGTGCTCTCCGCGGGGGTCCCCAAGTCCGAGCGGCCGCGCACTCACGACCCTCGACCAACAACGGGGGAGGGTGGGCGCCCCGGGCAGGGCTCGGGGGTCGGGCTGGCTCCCCCGCCCTCCGGAATGCCCGTGCAGAGCGGCGCAGCCCGGGCCGACCCGGGAACAAAGCGGCGGGAGGGCAGGGGTGAGCGGGCGGCACCGGGCAGCGCCCGCACGGCCGCGACGCCGCGCGCCCGGGACGCGCCGAGCCCGCAAGAAAAGTTAGTTGGCAGCGGCCCGCGCGGCGCCGCCCCGGCCCCCGCCGCACCTCACCTCTGCGCGCCGCCCCCCGGGGTCCGGCGGCCCTCCTGCGTCCCGGGCGCTCGGGACGGCGGCTCCCGGGCCCCCCGCGCCCCGACTCGCCTCCTCCTCCTCCTCCTCTCCCGAGGCCGGCTCGGCGCCTCCCGCAGGAAATCCCGCCCCTCCCCCGTCCCTCCCGCCGGATTGGGACCGTCCGGACCGCGCAGTCGGGCTGTCAGTCAGCGCCCGGGCCCCGCCCCCAACCCAGGGCCCCGCCCCCGAGCCCCGCCCCTGCCCCACCCCCGCTGCGCTCGCTCGGGTCCGGGCCCGGTCCGCGCATGCGCCCAGGTGAAGCGCGGGCAAGCCGCTCCCGGCGCTGAGGCGCTCGGCGGCCGCTAGGTTGAGGCGCTCGAGGGGTGGCGGGCTCCAGGGTGCAGACGCCACGGCGAGACCCGTGTGGGTGGGAAAGGAGATGGGACGGGAAAGCGACTGGGGCCCCCCCAGACTCGCCGAGCCTCTTTCCGTCGCCCCTCGTCGCTCCGGGGACGCCGGCGGCCACCTCCGCCCGCGCCCCGTCGCTGGTCGGGGCGATGGTGCCACCTAGCGGACGGGGCAGGCGCGGACGCGTTGGCGGGCGGCGGGGACCACCCCCCCAGCTCGGAGGACGTGCGGGTGCGGGAATGGGGTGGCGCTTCACGCTTCAGCACTGTCGACGGCCGGACAGCGCCTCCCGGGCCTCGAGCCCCGGCTTAGGAGCCCCTGGGGAGACTCTGAAGGAACTCTTGGGGGCCACACCCGACGATGCTCACGGCTGCGTCCTGGCCCTGCGCTCAGGGGTCACTCCTGGCCGGGCTCGGGGGACCGTCGGGGGTGCCGAGGATCGAACCCGAGAGGGCCCGTGTAAGGCAAGCGCTGTACCATGGCTCAACCTCAGTCCGTCTCTGACGGCTCCTTGCGACCTTCGGGACCCTGCATTTCGGGGACCCACCGCCCTGCCTTCCCTCGCTCCCAGCTCCCCGCATCTTGCTGCATCCAGAAAGGTGGCCGCTCCGTGTGGCCAAGGGGTGCGAGAGGCTCGCGCCTTTGACCTTTGGACTAGACGGCCCCCGAGAACGGCGGAGGACGGGAGAGAGGAGAGCTCCCAACAGGTCCAGAAGCCGGTCCAGCCTCTGCTCCCCCCACCCCCACCCCCGCTCGCTCCACACGAGCACCAAACTTTGTCGTCAGGCGCTAGGACCCAGAACAGCTTAGGCGGTTGGCGAGTCCGGGCCGCGGACCCCGGGTGCCGGCGGCCCGGGACCGGCGGTCGCCGGCGCTAGGGCCGCGCGGAGGCCCGGCCGGGGGCGGGGCGAGAGCGGCGGGGCCCCGCGCGCGCAGCCGCAGTCGGCGGCCCGATGGAGCCCGAGCCCGCGGCAGTGGAGGTCCCCGCCGGACGCGTGCTCAGGTGCTGGGCGGGCGGCGGGGCCTGCGGGAACGGACGGACGGACTGGCGGACGGGCGGGCGGGCGGGCGGGTGGGGGGCGCGCGTGCTGACCCCGCCGCCCGTCGCCCCGCAGCGCCCAGGAGCTCCTCGCCGCCCGCTCGCGGCCCCAGAAGCTGCCCCAGCGCTCGCATGGCCCCAAGGACTTCCTCCCCGACGGCTCGGCCGCGCAGGCCGAGCGGCTGCACCGGTGCCGCCAGGAGCTCTGGCAGCTGCTGGCCGAGGAGCGCGTGGAGCGCCTGTAAGGGGGCGTGCCGGCCGGGCGGGCGGGCGGGCTGACGGGCGGGGGTCCCCCCGCGGCCCTGACGCCCCCCTCTCCCCAGGGGCAGCCTGGTGGCGGCCGAGTGGAGGCCGGAGCGCGGCGTGGTGGAGCTGAAGACCCCCGCGGTGAGCCCGGGCCCGGGGGGCCGCCCGCGCAGCCCTCCCGGGGCGCGCCCGCGTGACCTCTCCTCTGGGCTCCCCGACAGGGCAAGTTCTGGCAGACCATGGGCTTCTCCGAGCAGGGCCGGCAGCGGCTGCACCCCGAGGAGGCCCTGTACTTGCTGGAGTGTGTGAGTGGGACGCCGGCGGGGTGCGGGGCGGCGCGGGCACCTGCCGGCGGGTGCGGGACCGCCGCCGGCACGGTGGGGCTGCCCCGGTTCTTCTGCTGCGACTTCGCCTGCAGAGCCCCTGTCGCGGGCGCTGAGTTGTCGGCTCCGTTTCCAGGGCTCCATCCAGCTCTTCCACCAAGAGCTGCCGCTGTCCGTCCAGGAGGCTTACCAGCTGCTGCTGGCCGGCGACTCGGTGACTTTCCTGCAGTACCAGGTAGCTGCCGCGGGATCCATGCGTACTGGGCACGGTCCAGTGCTGGGCACAGTCGGGGTGCTGCTGTTAGGATGCCTCGCAGAAAGGGTCGTTTTGGGGTGCTGCTTGCACATTGGGGCGAGTAGGCAATCAGCAGTCGGACAGGCAGGCCTGGAGACCGGGGAAGTGACCTGAGTGACAGAGAGAAACGTGAACACAGGGAGCAGCCAGGCGGTATGGCGGAGTAGTGAGGTGGTCGGGGTGTGATGGGTCCACTGGTGAGGCCTGTGGCCCTCCAGCAGGAGGGGAACAGAGGAACCGGGAATGGCAGGAGAAGTGCCAGGGGGGTGGGCAAACAGAAGCCAAGGAAGGAGCCAGAGCGGTGTGGACGCTGCTGAGAGGCGAAGCTGATGGAGACATTCCTGCGTGATAGGATGGGGATACAGGATGCACTGGGTGGGCTCCTTCCACCCTCTGCCTTCTTCGTGTGGCAGGCAGTAGCTTCTCTCTCCTGTTCTTCAGTTTAGGAATATTCCAGGAACTATTTCTGTGCTGTTTTGCCCCGGGGGGAGGGGGGAGTGGGGAACCCACCCTCGGCGGCTTCAGGAACCTGCTGTCTCCGGCGGACATTCTCTCTGGCCCCCCTAAGCCATCTCTGCCTGTAGGCTGTTAGCTTTGTGGGATTTGTGTTGGCATCTTGCAACTGCTACGCATCCTTTGTGCCCAGAGGAAGAGAAAACTGAAAAGCAGAATTCTCAACTCGAGAGCCCACAGGCCCAGGGACTGGATTGGGGGGTGAGGGGAGAATGCAGGACGTGGCCTCTGCCAGGAAATGCTTGTGTGCTTGTCTGACCTTTCCGTTCTCTCTAATCCTTCGAGGTTTTCAGCCACCTGAAGAGACTGGGCTACGTGGTTCGCCGATTCTGCCCAAGGTATGCCCCTGCCCCCTCTCTCTCCCTCTCCCAGTGCAGGGCCTGGCTGGCTGCTCCCAAAGTCAGGGAGAGGGTACTTTCCTCCCCTGGCACCCCGGTGGGGGCCTCTGTCAAACATGCTCTGTGGGGAATGCACGTGGTGTTTTCTCCCCTGCAGCTGAGCCCGTCTCCAGCCGTTCACCCTCAGCCCACACTCAGCCCCCGCGGCTCGTAGTGGCCGTAGTGCTGCAGGGCTGGAACAGAGCACCGCGCTGATCCCTAGACATGAGTTTCATGTGCCCCTTGTTTGTTTTTATTCTTGGACCACACCCAGCGATTCTCGGCCTTATTCCCTTCTCAGAGCTCAACTCCAGACCGTGCTCATGGGACCGTCTGTGGTGCCGGGGATCGAACCTGGGTCTGCGGTTTGCTCTCTAGCCCCAAGTTCAAGATCAAGCTTCAGACTTGGGTGTAGACTGGTTCAGATTTTTGCTTTGTTGCTTTGATTCTTGTGCATTTTTTTGGTTTAGGGGAACTTGGGACCTCCCACATGCCAAGCAAGTGCTCTGCCTCTGAGCACCAAGGCCCCCAAACTTTTCTTTTTAAAAAATACTTTCCTCCTGGAACCACACAGCCACACTGGGGCGCAGGGGACGCCCATGTACGTGCTCCCCCATGCAAGGCTGTGTTCTAGCAGCCATTGGCCGTCAGTGTCACCCCTCAGCCTTTGTGGTGTGCCCTGGGTCACAAAAGCTGAAGAACTAGGACAGCTATACCGAGTTATTTTTTAATTTTAAGATAAAAAATTGGGGGGAGGCAAAGAGTCCAGAGAGGGTAAGGCTCTTGCTTTGCACGCGGCTCGCCCCAGTTCAATCCACTCCACCACATATGGTTCTTCAGGCACCACCCTAAAACCGAACCAAACCAAAACACCACCTAAACCAAAAACTGTAGTTAATGCAAGCTCAGACTAGTAAGTTTTCTAGTTTTGTGTTTATGAGTGTGTGTTGGGGCCATACCCATGGTGTGGTGCTTCAGGATCACTCCTGGCAGTGCTTACAGGACCGTATGAGGTTCCGGGCGTAGAGTCCTTGTTGGCCGCTTGCACGGCAAACACTCTGCCAGCTATACTCTTATTGCAGCTCAAAAAACAGGTTCTTGTCAAAAAAGAAAGAAAAATTGTCAACTGATTGTTCTGTCTGATGTCCTTGGGATTCAGAGATGCTCAGTGATGGCTGATTCTGTTTAAAAAAAGGGGGAGGAGGGGTGCGTTTGGAGAGAGAATACAGGCGGTCTTACACAAAAGGATTTTGTGTGTCTGTGTTTGTCGTCCCGGGTATCTGTGGGGTGTGTTTGTGTGTGTGTTGGGGGGGGCAGTCCTGGGTGTCTGTGTGGGGGGGGTGTCCCGGGCACCTGTGCACCTGTGAGTGAATGGGTGTTCACTCATCGACTCAGGGCTTGGGGACCACTTGGCGGGTGGCGGGGGGGAATCTGGTTCCTTGCTCCTTCCTCTTTGCAGAGGAAGAGCTGGGACCCACGTGACCACCAGAACTTGGCTTTTGTGGGGCGCTTCTTCCACATGGCACTGTCACTTTGCGAATTCCGTGACCTCGGGCACATTCTCCAAGTCATGGCAGGGAGGCTTGATGGCCCAAGGTTGTGTTGGTCCTGAGTCCCATGCTGCCCAGGAAATGTTTCTCTGGGGATGAGGTGGTTGGTGTCTGCGGCCTGTGCGGCTGCCTTTGTAACTTTATTGCATTTGACTGGCCATGCCCAAAGCCCAGTGTCTGGTGACAGTTGGACACACAGGAAGAATCAGGAGAAATCTCTGCAGAAGGGTGTTGTAGCAACAGAGGGTGTGACCATAACATCCAGTGTGTGTATGTGTGTGTGTGGGGGGGGTTTACTAACACATGTTAGTACTTTTTTTTTCCTTTGGGGTCACATTTGGTGATGCTCAGGGTCTACTCCTGGCCAGGCGGCACCGGGAATTGAACCAAGTTTTCTTGCCTGCAGGCCTGCACCCCAGCCCCATGAGCTTTCTGTGCCCCAGTGTTTCTTTATTTCTTTTGGAAACACTTCTCTGGAATAGTGAATGTTCCAAAGGAATGTCAGTGCGAACAGCGGAATCTGGGCTCACACTTTTTCTGTCATTTCAGTGTTTTCGGGTCCACTCTGGTCTTGCTCTCCCCGAATTTGTCCCGGTTCACTGGCTCTGCGCCCCCATCCCCGCCCCTCAGTCAGAATAGTGGGCACTGTACTGGGGGCCGGGGGTCAGACCCAGCCAGTGCCCTGTGTGTAGTGGTGCCCGGGGCTCACCCATGGGGGTGTCTGGCTTGAGCCTGCGCGCACGGCCCCCCTTTCACCCCACAGTGCCATCCTGTCCCCTTACGAGCGGCAGCTGAACCTTGACGGCAGCGCCCAGTACTCGGAGGATCGGAGCGGCAGGAGGAAGAGGAGGAGCTCCAGCTCTCGGTACCTGCCCCACAGCCTGGGGGACAGAGCTAGGGTTGGGGTTTGGGGCCTGGGTGACTGCCACGGTCAGCAGCTAGGAGCAGGTGTGTCCCTTCTCATCCCCCAGGTCTGTTCCCAAGAAGCTCAAGGCCCTGGAGCGCCCCCTGCAGGGGTCGTCTGGGACACCTGCCAACCTGGCCGCTGCCAGCCCAGCTCCCTGTAGCCTGGACAGCCCAGAGGACAAGCCCCAGGAGCTGAGCCCTGTGGCCGGCCCCTCACAGCTTCCAGGCTCCCAGGACCCCTGGGCCGGCCGGGTAGAGAACGGGGTCCAGGGGGCGTGTAAGCCTCGCTGGAACTTTGAGCAGATCGCCTTCCCCAACATGGCCCCCGACAGCCGCCATACGCGCCTGCCGGCCCCGGCCCCAGAGCTGCTCCCAGCCCACGTGGAGGCCCGTGCCACTGACGCCGAGGCCTGGTGCCACCAGCTCAACCAGCGGAAAGACAAGCCGTCTGAGCAGTCACGGGAGCCCATGGCCGAGGCCCGGCCCTGGTGGCGGGAGCTGAACGCTGACCCCGAGGTGCAGGGCTGCTCGGGCTGGCGGGAGTACAAGGAATTGCTGCGGCGGCGGCTCCTGCAGGAGCCCCCCAGCCGCCCCTTGCACCTGTGGCACCAGCCTGTCACACCCCTGCTGAGCCCAAACCAGGCTGATTCTCCAGGTACTGCTACCTCCCCCCCCCCCCCACGCCGGGAAACCGCAAGATGGTGCCCGGCGCCCACTGCCTGAGGGTTCCAAACAGTGGGGGGCTAGAGCATTCGATGGAGTGGAAACCAGAAAGTGGGTCCCCGTCTCGCGGGCAGAAGTCCAAGCACCACAGGGGAGCACGTGGTGAGGTGGTTGGACGTTGCCAACAGGCTGTCTCGGTGCCAACCGGGGAGGGGGGTCCCCACCCCTCGCTGTTGGCCTGGAAACAGGAGGCTCGGCCCAGGAAGGGCAGCAGGTGTGCCCCGCACACTTTTTGTATTAGAGACACACCCAGCAGTACCCAGGACTGGCCCTGAGGCCTTGCCCAGTGTGCGAAGGAGCCTGGGAGAGCTGGGGCCTGAGAGAGGGTATAGGGATGGGAGTGCTTGCCAAGAGTGCACCCTGAGCACAGAGCCAAAATCACATAACGAGCCACTAGAGCACCAGTGGCGCTGATGGTCAGCGCTCCTTACTGCCCCTGGGCACATAGCGATGGTAAGTAACTAAACTCCCCAGATCTGCTAAATTTGCACTTTCGATAAACCGCCACCAATTTTTTTTTTTATAAATATATTCCACGTATCACCAGGGACAGTCCTAGGTGCTCAGACAGCTCTGAGCGGGAAAGCGTGCCGAGGAGGTTGAAGAGCGTTTTGTGGCCTTTCTCTGGCCGTGGACTGCCCTCCAACTCTGCTTCCTTCCTCCCTCCACCCCCCCATTTTACCCCTTTGGAAGATCCTGGAGTTCCGGGGGTGGGGGGGTTGAATGAGCAGTACTGCGGGAGTGGGCCACCTTTCTCCAGCCCCCTTGTGTTCCCTGTCTCGCAGCCACCATCCTTCAGCAGGTCACCATACTGCAGACGACACACCTTGCCCACGATGGTGCCCGGTGAGTCTCCAGGTAGTGCCCGTGTCCGCTCTACCCCGGGTGCCAGCAGGAGTTGGGAGCTGCCCGTGAGCTTAGGGTCGTAGGATATGCACCTGCCTACCTGGGAGCTGCAACTCACCTAATTTACGGGCCTGAGCTAATGGCTCTACCCCAGGGGTTCTGACGGCCAGATGGGCCCCACCAGCAGACTTAGCCCCTTGCGTGCAGCTGCTTCCCGGAACTGGGCACGGGGAAGAGGTGGCGTTGGTGGGAGGTGGGGGAGCGATCCTCTTCCCTAAGGGGTCCCACCGTGTCCTCAGGCTGCTGACGGAGTCAGGGGGCCTGGAGATCAGTTTTGATGTGTACCAAGCTGATGCCGTGGCCACGTTCCGGAAGAATAACCCTGGCAAGCCCTATGCCCGGATGTGCGTTAGTGGGTACGAGAGCAGCCCTTGCCCCACTGGTTCCTTGGTGAGCCGTGTTCGGGGATCTCCTCGCCCCACCCTCTGCAAGTGTGTGCCAGTCCTGAGAGACCGGGGGCGGGGGGGCACACGAGTCACTGCCACTGTCACCCAGGGGGGAACTTCCCGGCCCTCTGCTGTCCTGGTGTATTTGGGGAGTTGTTCTCCTCATCCAGCAGGGGGGGCTGTGGGTGGCCGGGCTCAATGGTGAGAACCTTCCTCCTCGTGGCCCCCAAGCCAACCCAGGCTCTGGGTCTCTGGAGAACCTTCCAGAACCAGGCAGTGTGTGGCCAGACAGCGAGGGGCGGGTCTCAAGTGTGCCCTTCGTCCCTGCAGATTTGATGAGCCGGTCCCAGACCTCCGCACCCTCAAGCGATTATCCTACCAGAGCGGGGACGTCCCTCTGATCTTTGCCCTGGTGGATCACGGCGACATCTCCTTCTACAGCTTCAGGGACTTCACTCTGCCCAGGGACCTGGACCAGTGACCACACACACTGGGGACCTGGACGCTCTACTCAGGACCATCTCAGCCTCAGCCGCCTGCTGCACCCGGACTGGGGCCCGCCAGCTGCTTCCTTAGAGCAGTCTAGGCCGGTGGGGGCTGACGGTGGGAGTGCCTCACCTTCCCCTCGGCCGGCCGCCAGCGCTACCTCGCCGGCCGACCCTGCCGCCTTGCCCGGTGCCGTGGAACTCAGGAGTCCTTTTCGGAGAGGACAGTGCCTTTACACGAGAGGGTGCCTGCTTCGCGCCATAAAGCCAAAGCCATTAAAATGTCAGATCCCTTTTCTACCGTGCCTGGATAAAGTGGACAGCCTTCCCCCCAATCCGATCGTCTGTGGAAGTGACCCTCCAGGCCCCCGCGCCTGCGTTCTCGGGCATGGGAACTCTGTGACCCTGCGCCTCTCTGGGGGGCCCGCGCGCGGGGCTGGGTGGAAAGTCCCCGCCCTCAGTTGCTGCAGCCTCTCCCCAGTACTGAAAGTTAACTTGGGTGGCGCCTGCCGTCCCTTTGGGCCCCCAGAAGATTTCCAGGCGGAGAGGGGGAGAGGGGGTAGGTTCGCCTCGCGGGGAGGTGCCTCTCGGTCCGAAGCCAGCCTGAGTCCGGGGCGCGCCGGGGGGCCCTCGGGCAAAGCCGGCCGAGCCGGGCTCCTCCCTCGGCAGCCCGGGGCCGCGTCCCCGACGCGCGTTCCGGGGACTATTTCCCCCGGCGGGAGGCGGCGGAACACGGGGCGCGGCGCGCTGTCTTGCGGCCAGGTGCGCGCAGGTGAGCCCGGGGGCGGGCGCCGGGACCGCGAGCCGATTCGCCGGGGGCCGCGGCCCCGCCCCCGCGGGCTCCGGCGCCGCCGATTGGCCAGCGCGCGGGTGGGGCGGGGCCCGGGCTGCGGGCCGGGGCCCGGCGGGGGCGCGGCGCGGCTGCCGGCCGACTCGCCCTTTATGTAAATACGCGGCCCCGCCCCGCCGCACCGAGGTGAGCAGGAAGGAGCCGCAGCGGCCGGGCCGGCGCGGCGGGGCGAGCGGAGCCGGCGCGGGCGCCCAACGACGCCGGGCCGCGCGGGGGCCGGCGGGGCCGCAGGTGAGCCGCGGGCCGCGAGCCTCCGGGCCGGACTGGGGGCGGGCCGGGACCCCTGGGCGCGCGGGAAGGGCCGGGACCCCCGAGCGCGCGGGCAGCGCCGCGCCCGCTCCCGTCACTCGGCCGGTCGGGGCGGGCGCCCGGTCCTCGGGGAGAGTTGCGGCCGGGAACTTTCCCGGCCGGTCCCGCCCGCGGCCGCCAGCGCGCCGCGCGGGGAAACAGGTGTCCGGGCGCGGAGCGGGTCCCGCGCACGTGCGGCGCCGCCGGCCCCACGACCCTCCGCGCGCGGCGGCCGGAGCGCGTCCCGCGGCGGCCGAGCCTGGCCATCTGGGCCCCGGCCCCGCCGGCCTTTGTGCCTGTAATCTCCGGACGCAGGAAGCACGCCCGGGGAGGCGGCGGGCGCGGGGCCTTCCTGCTCCGGGGCGCCGCGGACACCCCAGGCGAGCGTGCCGGCGACCTGTCCCGCGTCTCCCGGCCGCGGCGGGGGCGGGGGGCGTTTGCGCCGCGGCTTCCTTGGACTTGGGCGGGAGGGAACTTTTCTGCCTGGCTTGCGAGTGTGCAGAGTTGGCGCTGGCCGCGGTCACGTTGAGCCTCGGCTTGGGCAGAGCTGACTTGAACCGGGACAGCAGGGGGGGCGGAGGCTCTCGACGGCGACAGGTGAGCTCGGGGCGGGGCGGAGGCCCGGGGCCCCTTCCCAAGGGGTGCAGGCTGGCCTCACCTGGTCTCTGGAGACAGACGCTGGGCAGCTTCAGGCTGCAGGCTCCATGGGGCCGCGGAGGGGGTTCTGCCCTGGGAAGGCGACATCGGGAACCCCAGGTGGGAGGGACACAGCCGCTCACCCGGCCCCGGCCCCGGCTCGCCAAGGTCAGAGGAGGCTTTTGAGGAGGACAAGCCTGTTTGGGGATTTGGGGCCACACCCGGCGGTGCTCAGGGCTCACTCCTGGCCCTCTCTGCTCAGGGCTCACTCCTGGTGGGGCTCCTGGTACCATATAGGGTCCCCGGGATCGAACCCGGTCAGCCACATGCAAGGCAAGCAGCAGCAAGCTGCTCCTCCAGCCCTGTGTTTGTGTGTTTATTGGGGGGGAGGGTTGGGTTTTGTTTGTTTTTGTCCACATCTGGCGGTGGTGCTCAGGGCTCCTCTCTGCGCTTGGGAATCACTCCTGGCAGGCTCCAGAGACCACATGGTGGGGAGGTGGAAGCCACCTGGCGCCCTCCCCACTCTCCTAGCACCTCGGCCCCTGTTTTGTTGTTTTTTAAGGAAGAGTGTGGAGAGATGACCCCTTGTTCCCATTTCATGGAAGGCATATTGGGGGTTTCTTAGTTTTGCCCATCAGGTTGCCGGGTTGGGGGTGCGGTGCTGACCTCAGCAGGCCCGGGGCCATGGGGGAGGGGTGACACTAGTCAGCATGGACAGGCTTGGGGGTTCATTCTGCACCCCTCCAGGCAGTCAGAGTCCCCTTTGAAGTCATAGTAATGAAATGTAAATGATTAGTAAGTCTTTAATTCACTGTAGCACACTGGGAAGGCCCATAACGCTGGAGGGCCCCTGTGGACATAAAGGGTGGTCAGAGGGGTCCGGGCTCCCCCCACCTCTATGAAAATACTGCATCAGAAAATGAGTAAGAACACAGCCCGGAGGGCATTTGCCTTGCACGTGGCCAACCCAGATTGGATCCCTGGCACCCCATATGCCCCCCCCCCCCAGCACCGCCAGGAGTGATTCCCTGAGTGCAGAGCCAGGAGTCAGCCCTGAGCATCGCTGGATGTGGCCCAAACCCCAGAGCTTCCACCAAAAATAGATGAATAGTAAGCACTAAGAACAGACAGTGAGGGGTGGGGACACTCGGTCCCCCCAAACCCCCGCCTTCCCCGCCTGCAGCTGTGTCAATGCCCAGTCACTGCTGAGCTGAGCCTTGTGGACCTTGTCTGGCTGATGGGCGCAGAGAGGCGGGTGTTGGCGGTGCCAGGCCAGGGGCGCCCCCCCACATGCACCTCCTGGTTGGCTTTGGAAGGCGGCACCTGACTCCCTCTCCTATGCTCCCCAGAGGCTGGAGCACAGCTGTGGGGTGGGGGTGCAGAGCCCAAAGGGCCCCACCTGCTACCCTCACCCCCTCCACCCCCCCCCCCCCGCCAGGTGGGGGATAGAGAGCAAAGGGCACAAGCACCTCCCACGTTGCAGCTTTTCTGGAAGCTCCAGGCAGCTCCCCACACGCCACCCTCTGCGCCAGGATGGTTTTGTTCTAGTTTGGTGTTTTGGGGGGGGTGGCCACACTCAGCTGTGCCGGGGTCTTACTCCAGGTGTGCCCGGAGCCCTGTGCAGGCCTTCCCACCATGCTGGCTCTTGGTGGGCCTCCTGCGAGTCTGCCCGCCCACCCGGCAGACCAGGGGACACACAGGGAAACAGCCCCAGCTCCTGGGGGTCATCGCCTCCATGGCTTCCCCGTGCCTGAGACTCCAGGCACTTCTGTCCCCCGCAGTCTGTGGAAGTGGGGGCCTCCTCGTACCTTCCCCAGTGGGCCCTGTTGCTCCCGCCCTGCCCTCCCTCTGCCCTGGCATTTTGTTCCGCTCCCCTGGGGTGCCCCTCCCTCCGCACCCTGCCTCTCCGAGGAAACTGGTCCTTCGAAGAGTCACCCCACTCTGTCCCGCCCCCTCCCAGGAAGACCGAGAATTCTGGAGCTGGGAGAGGCCGCGCTGGGCGTGGGGACAGGGAGCGGGGAGGTGCCTGACTTACCGGTCAGGAATCCAGCGGACTCAGGACTGAGCTACCCGCCTCTGGGCGCCAGACCCACTCGGTGCCCGGCCAGGACTCAGGGCTCCTGCGACCTGTCGCTGGACACCGGACCTGCTCGATGCCCAGCCAGGAGACTGTGTGCCTGGACACTCCTGGCTAGGGCACTGGTGTCCTTGGGTCCCAGGCAGGGACAGCACCAGGACAGTCTCTGTGATAGGGCCCGCCCCCGCCCTGGTGCCCCGTGGGCTTGTTGGGTGTGTTGGCGTGAGCAGAGAGCCACAGGAGGGTGTGCAACCTGGCCCAGAGTAGGGGTTGCTGGCCTTGCATGGGGAGCAGTGGGGAGAGAGCAGGGAATTAACGGGGATCCTCGCGGCTTGACCGATGGGCACCTGCTTGGCATGGGAGGTCCTGGGTTCCAACCCCGGTGCGCAGAACAAAAGTGATTCCAACTAATTAGGAACAACCAACTGTCTGTGGGGGCTTCCCCTTTTAAAGCAGGGCGGGGGTCCAGAGAGGTAGCACACAGCCAACCCAAGCTTGATCCCCAGCACCCCCATAAGTCCCCCCGAGCCCCATCAGAAGTGACCCCTGAGCCAGGAAGAAGCCCTGAGCACCAGAGCATTGAGGTAAATGAGAGCAGGTCTGAAGTCATGAGTTTGATCACCAGCACCCAAAATAAAGACATTTTTCAAAACAGTGGTTAGGGTCTGGGAGCGGTGGCTCGGTGTGGGCCCGTCCCCAGTACCTGTGGTTCCCCTGAACCCCCAAACCAAACAGCTGTGGCCCACACAGACAGACATCAGTGGCAGGGTGGGCTTTGGGGGCACGGTCCCACTTGCCTCACGCTGCCCTCCAGGGACTGGCGTGTGCAGCTCCTGGGGCCACACTCCATGGTGTTCCAGGAGCCACGCAGGCCAGCCTAGGCTCTGACTCGAGGCCTTGCGTGCTGGACATGCCCTCAGCTGCCCTGCCACGCCCCCAGCACCAGCTGTTTGAGTGACGGGCCTGGATTGTCAGCATGATGTTCTTGAAGTTCTTTCCGGGGGAAACTCACCTAGACTCTTCTTATTTTATTTTTACCACAGACTGGAGCAAAGGCCCTGGGACACAGACCTGCACATCCTCAGGTGCACAGCCTGATGGATTTGTCTGGAGTGTTTGGGTTTGGTTTTTTATTTTTTGTTTTTGGCTTTTTGGGTCACACCCAGTGATGCACAGGGGTTATTCCTGGCTCTGCACTCAGGAATTACCCCTGGTAGTGCTCAGGGGACCATATGGGATGCTGGGAATCGAACCCGGGTTGGCTGCGTGCAAGGCAAACGCCCTACTCGCTGTGCTATTGCT